CGTGCGCTCGCCAGACAGACAGAGACATAGAGACAAAAAGCGAGAAATCACCCCCCAGGGGGGATGGTCACGCCGCAATCCCTTCTCCTCCATTCTCCTCTCGAGATCTTGGGCACGCACGCACACGCGCCCGGCGTGAGTTTTAAGCCACCGGGTCCGGGACACGAACCACGGTCGACTACGTGGGAGTCCAGCGACATAGGAACCGCGGTCGACTACGTGGGAGTCCAGCGACATAGCCATTACGCTAACTGCTGGTTCCCACCCCCAGATAAACTTTTAAGAAAATATTTTAGCCATGCTTCTGAGAATATTATCTTTGAGTTTGTTTTGTTCCATTTTTGTTTTCTTTAGGTTTTGCAGTGGTAAATAAATGAGTTAACTGGGCCTAGCCAAAAGGTTAAAGAAATTAAGGAAATTGGTTTAAATGTAGCAGGTATTTAATATATATTATATAGTATTTGACACTTGAAAAACTTATTTTCTTACAGTCTTGATGTGGATAGTGAAGCTAAGAAACTCTTGGGTTTAGGACAGAAACATCTGGTTATGGGAGACATTCCAGCAGCTGTCAATGCGTTCCAGGAAGCAGCCAGTCTTTTGTAAGTATTGTGTTTTGCTATGACTTAATGTTATGTTCCCTTAATAAGCCTTGAATTATAAAAAGTTGTTTTATTTGAGGACAAAAATGAAGAGAAAGATTTTTAAATTATTTTTAAGCAGGAGTTTACTCTTGTAACTGTAACTATAATACTTAGGGGGACAGGGAATGGTATTACATTAAATAAGACCAGCCCTACATGATAAAGGTTCTGAGTCCTTGTCCTTACAACTTTCTGAGCATGCTGGGTATGCCTCTGCTCATAGTTGGTCCAGACCCACTGAGCAATGTCAGCCTCTGATTTTTCTAAGGTAATTTATATTCCAGTCATAACTTCTTAGGGAGATCACAATTTTTCCTTGCTTGTCTAGATCTTTACTTTTTTTTTTTTTTCCTTTGGAGAGGTTTTCGCTATAGGGCACGTGCGCTCTCCAGAAAGAGAGAGACAGAAAGCGAGAAATCACCCCTCAGGGGGGATGGCCATGCCGCAATCCCTTCTCCTCCATTCTCCTCTTGTGATCTTGGGCACGCATGCACACGTGCCTGGCGTGAGTTTAAGCCGCTGGGTCCAGGACTTGAACCGCGTTCGGCTACGTGGGAGTCCAGCGACATAACCATTACACTAACTGCTGGTCCCTAGATCTTTACATTTTAATGCTATAAATTTCCTGTTTGGGGAAACCCCTCAGACCTAAGAAAGCCACGAAGATTGGTCACCCTGTCACTCATAACTGAATTACCACAGCATTTTCCATAGATTTTTAGAACCATTGTTACCTGCTATTATAATTGCTTGGAAGTTGGCAAGTTTGAGCTTTAACCATATATACTAACCTACTAGAAGAATAGAAGGTTAATTTTAGTGCCTTAAAGGTGATTTATTTTCCCCCAAGAATTTAATGTACCTCCAGATCTAAGAGATGAAAAAGAATGTTAAAGGTTGGAAGACAGGGCCTCATAAAAAATTTAACAGACACAACAATAGAAAGTTATCTTTGGGACCAGCAGGTGGTGTGGTGGTTGAGGCACTGGACACTCCCACATGGCCGACCACAGGTCAAATCTTAGTCCTGGTAGCTTGCTTTCTTACTTTCTCTCTCTTTCTCTGTCTGTCTCTGCTCAAATTAAAATAAGCGAATAAATAAAGTTAAATAAATAATTATTAAGAAAAAAAAATCTTTTAAGGATGTATAAGGTTATGTCTTTGAGTTGATATGTAATGTGCATATGCTTTGAATTGCCATATTGTAAGTTATACAATGAGTACATGTTTAAAAAATGTAAAATCCTGGGGACCACCAGTTAGCATGATGGCTGTGTCTCTGGACTCTCATGTAGTCGACCGCGGTTTGCGTCCCGGACCCGGTGGCTTAAAACTCACGCCCGGGCACGTGTGCGTGCGTGCCCAAGATCCGAAGAGGAGAAGGGATTGTAGTGTGGCCATCCCCCCGGGGGTGATTTCTCGCTTTCTGTCTGTCTGTCTCTGTCTTTCTGGCGAGCGCATGTGCCCTATAGCAAAAACCTCTCAAAAAAAAAAAAAAAAGGTAAAATCCTAAAAAAAAATAGAAAAAGAAAAAATAAATTAAAATCTTCAAGCAGTACCCTCTCTCATGACTCGATTGGAAATAGTTTCCTTCAAGATCGTATTAGCAGTAGCAATTGGAGGTGAACATTTTTTTCATAGTTTGTTGATTATGTTCATACAGTTGAATGAAAGAAATCTTAGAAATTATTATAATGACACATCTAACAGTTTCATGTTTTAAACTCACTATTCCTTCTTTTCCTTTAGTCAGTCAGGATCAAAAGTCAGTCTAGGGAACCAGCAGTTAGCGTAATGGCTATGTCGCTGGACTCCCACGTGGTCGGCCGCGGTTCATGTCCCGGACCCGGTGGCTTAAAACTCACGCCGGGCGTGTGTGCGTGCGTGCCCAAGATCCCGAGAGGAGAATGGAGGAGAAGGGATTGCGGCATGACCATCCCCCCTGGGGGGTGATTTCTCGCTTTCTGTCTCTATGTCTCTCTCTGTTTGTCTGGCGAGCGCACACACCCTACAGTGAAAATCTCTCAAAAAAAAAAAAAAAAAGGCAGTCTAGCTGATGGAGTGGTTGTTAAGGGTGCTCGACTCCCACGTGGCTGACCATGGTTCAAGTCCTGGACCTTGTGGCTCACTTTCTTATTCCCCTGCTCCTCTCTCTCTCTCTGACCCTCTCTGGTCAAATTGAAATAAAAATAAATAAAGTTAAATACAAAATAATAATTTTTTTTTCTTGAGAGGTTTTTTGCTGTAGTTTTTGCATGCACTCGCCAGACAGACAGAGACAGAAAGCAAGAAATCACCTCCCTCCCCTCCCCTCCCCAGGGGGGATGGCCATGCCGCAATCCCTTCTCCATTCTCCTCTTGGAATCCTGGGCACACGCACATGTGCCCATCGTGAGTTTAAGGCACCGAGTCCAGGACTGTGACCGTGGTCAACTACATGGGAGTTCAGTGACATAGCCATTACGCTAACTGCTGGACCCCAAAATAATTATTACCAAAGAAAAATGTCGATCGGTTTTTCCCCAAACTACACTCCATTTCCCAATATCTAGAACACAATTTTATTCCTAAATGTCTACAATGATCTCTTGACTGATTCCTAACTTATGTCCTCTTCATTCTTAACCTAGGCTTAAATCCTAGGCTCTTGGGCCGCCAGATGGTGTGATGGTTAAACATGCTGGATTCCCACATGGCTGACTGCGGTTCAAGTCCCGGAGCTGGTGCTTGCTTTCTCCCTTTCCCTTTGTCTTTCTGGTCAAATTTAAAAAATAATAATAACGAGTGAAATTAAGTAAATAATTCTATTTATAAAAAGATTTGGGGTTCTGATATTTAGTATTTAGTGTTGTGCTCTAGGGGTGAAGCCCAAACATTATATGATGGTAAGAATTTGCTTTTTCTTTTTTTAAACTTGATACGGGGTATGTGCACTCACTGGGGAGAGAGAGGGAAAGTGAGAAAGCACTCCCCCGCCCCCCGGAATGGCCATGCTGCAATCCCTTTTCCATCCTCTTAAAATTCTGGGCACACATGAACATAAAGCTGAGTGGTTTTTGTTTGTTTGCTTTGTTTTTTTTATCAAGTTGCTTGGACTAGGTCTTGAAACCACCTAGTCTTCCCTGTGGGATCCAAGCACCTTAACCACCATACCACCAGCTGGCCCTTACATGGTTATGTTAGATAGAACCACAGATAAGCATGCTTCTTAGCTTAGTCTTCCCAGATGCTTAGTGAGGTCTGGATTCCCATTGTACCACCACTGAAGGTGTTTAGGAAGAAAATTTCAAATACATTATTTTAATATAGTAGACTACCATTAAACATGACTTTCATCACAATACTTTCTGAGTAGTTTTTCTTTTTTTTCCTTTCTTTTTTGGAGAGGTTTTAGCTATAGGGCGCATGTGCTTGCGAGAGAGAAATCACCCCCCTGTGGAATGGCCATGCCGCAATCTGTTCTCCAGTCTCCTCTCTGGATCTTGGGCACGCACGCACACACGCCAGGCGTGAGTTTAAGCCACCAGATCTGGGACTCGAACCATGGTCGACTACATGGAAGTCCACTGACATAGCCATTATAACTGCTGATCCCTCTGCCTAGTTTTTCTATTCGCTCATTAGATTCAGAGACTGTTAGTTGGCCTGGCTTATATAACTTATTTCAGTCTTTAGTTCATGAAAGCTGGTATGTAGAGAAGTACCTCTTCCTTCAAATTTATTCTAATCACTTGTGATTTCTTCTCTCTCTTCCAGTCTGGGCATTAATAGCTAAAACTTACATACAGTGCTATCTGTACTTTTTAAAAATTTGTTTATTTCTTCCTTCAGCCAGAGAACACCCCCACATGATCTTGTAACCCACCCCCAATCTTCAGTCAGCCCTAGATCATGGGCATGCACATACCCAGCATACTCAGGATGGTTTCTTTTTTTTTTTTGGAGAGGTTTTTGATATAGGGCGTGTGCACTTGCCAGACAGACAGAGACAGAAAGCGAGAAATCACCCCCCAGGGTGGATGGTCATGCCACAATCCCTTTTCCATTCTCCTCTCGGGATCTTGGGCACGCACGCACACGCACCTGGCGTGAGTTTTAAGCCACCGGGTCCGGGACGTGAACCGCGGTCGACTACATGGGAGTCTAGCGACATAGCCATTACGCTAACTGCTGATCCCCAGGATGGTGTCTTGATGTGAGCCTGGAATTTTCTCATGTGGGTCAGCCTTGGAAAGCGTGTTTTATTGCCATCATCGGCTGCACCACTGTATTTCTAGCATTGTTTTAACTCATTTAGTTTTTGTAATAGCTCTCTGAGCAGTTGTTAACGTTAACGTTCTCATTTTACAGATGGGAAAATTAAGCATTGTGTAATAATATACAGATGAAAAACATGCAAAATTAACTTTATGCCTTATTTGCTATCAAGTTTCCTTTTTCTTGATTCAAAGCAAGAGGACTGTATTGGTGTCCTAGAAGGATTGTGTTACTGAGGAAATGTCAATTTATAAACAGAAAACCAGAAATACATGTTCTAAGAGTACATATTACTGGTACCAGCAGATTGCATAATGGTTATGTCATTGTACTCCCACATAGTTGACTGACTGTGGTTCAAGTCCCAGACCCAGCAGCTTAAAACTCACACAGGGCACCTGTGCATGCATACCCGAGATCCCAAGAGGAGAATAGAGGAGGAGTTGGCAGCATGGCCACACACACCCAGGGGGGAGGAGGGACAGGCAGGGGAAGATTTATCAAATTCTGTCTCTCTGTCCGTGCCCTATAGCAGAAGTCTCTTTTTAAAAAAAAAAAAAAAAAAGCGTACATGTTAGTTCATAGTTTGGATGTTTATTCTCTTTGTAGAGGTAAGAAGTATGGAGAAACAGCTAATGAATGTGGAGAAGCCTTCTTTTTTTACGGGAAATCACTTCTAGAATTGGCAAGGTATGTTCTTTAAACCTTAGTTATTAAGTATGTTTTATGTCACTTTGATCATTTCAAACCTGGATTCCTTGTTTGCTAACATTAGCTAAGTGGGACTGGCTTTATCTAGATAAAGGGTTTGAAGGAGTATGAAATACTGAAGGAGGTTGAAATGGCACTTGGTACAAAAATTAAAGTTACATTGAAGTTTTGACCTGGGGTTCTTACAAGCAAAGAGCTTTCCATTAATAAATGGTCAATAACTGGCAAACGTTCAATATAGCAAGAATCTTTAAAAATACTTTCAGCTAGGGACTAGCAGTTAGTGTAATGGCTGTGTTGCTGAACTCCCATGTAGCCGACCGCGGTTCAAGTCCCAGACCCAGTGGCTTAAATTCACGCCGGGCATGTGTGTGTACATGCCCAAGATCCCCAGAGGAGAATGGAGGAGAAGGGATTGAGGTGTGGCCATCCCCCCGGGGGGTGATTTCTCACTTTCTGTCTCTGTTTCTGTCTTTCTGGCTAAGCAAAAACCTCTCAAAAAACAAAAACAAAACAAAAGCAAAAAAAATCCTTTCAGTTAGCTCAAAGCAATCACTCTGTTACAAAGGACTGAATGAGGGACAATTTGAAAGGACTAGTGTGTAAAAAATGTTTGATAAGACTCGGTAGTAGTCTTACTGTTGGGAAACTCATCAGTATTTTCCACCAGAATAAAGTATATTGAGTATATTTGAAGTAGCTGATTCTCTATTTAACCTGTGTTCTGATAAGGTTCTAATCTTGTGATCATAAAGAGTATTTGATAGTTTGCTGTGAAAATCTTGCTAGATCGTTACTTAGTATCTAGAGAAATGGGGGTATATGGATTATGAAGTATGCATGCAGGCCTATTTGTTGTGATTTCAAAGTTTTTTTTAGGGTGTGTTCATGTGCTAAAGAAGGACAGCGAGGGACCAGCAGTTGGCCTAATGGCTATGTCGCTGGACTCCCATGTAGCCGATCGAGGTTAGAGTCCCAGACCCGGTGGCTTAATCTCATGCCAGGCGTGTGTGCGTGTCGGCCCAAGATCATAGGAGGAGAATGGAGAAGGGATTGCGGCGTGGCCATCCCCCCGGGGGTGCTTGCTGGACTTTCTGTCTCTCTGTCTCTCTGTTTTTCTGGCAAGCGCATGCACCCTATAGCAAAAACCTCTCCAAAAAAAAAAGGAGGACAGTGAGAGAATGTAAAAAGTAATCCCCCGAGAGGGTTGCCATACTGCAATCCTTTTTCCTCCTCTTCAGTTTTGGGTACCTGCACAAACATGCCTAATGTGATCTTCAAGATGCTTCTGGGTCTGGTACTCGAATCACAAAGTAGGCTCTACGGGGTCTAGCCACAGTCACCTTAAGTACCACACCACTGGATGGCCCAGAATGTTCTTTTGAGGAGTCCTCTGTGCTTTTCAGATGACTGAATGGGATGGATATGTGGATTTCCTAAAGTGCTCTTACAGCCTTCATTTATATTAATGATGATCGTTGTTTTTCTCCTATAGTTTTATGTTTCCTGCACTTGTAGTACTGCATTTTTTGTGTTAGAAAAAATTTGTTAGGTTCTACCAATTACACCTTTGGTGCTTTTCTCTTTTTGTTCTCCTAGAATGGAAAATGGTGTATTGGGAAACGCCTTAGAAGGTGTGCATGTGGAAGAGGAAGAAGGAGATAAAACAGAAGATGAATCTCTGGTAGAAAATAATGATAACATAGATGGTATGTGAAGTTGCATGTGACATTCAAGAGATGGCAACATTGTGAATTTCTTGTATACAAGTGATGGAAATAGGGCCCTCCCTGCCCTGAATGGATTCTCCTGAGATGCTTGGTGTGATGCCTGCATCTGGTGGAGATGGCACTGGGGGCCGATTAGTGAAACTGACTGCAGGCTTTTGTAAGAAGATAATTTAATTTTTTGAATTTGGTAATTTAAATTTGTATTTCAATTACTGCAGTCTTAAATATTTTTGAAGCAAATTTTTAAAGCAGTCTATGCAGCTCAGTTATTTTAAGAGCAGTACTTTTTGAACACTGGTTTTTTTTTTTGTCTAAGAAAAATATTTCTAAGCTGAGTTTGGCTACTAAAGTTTTACATGCTAGATGGAGTCTATAATGTTAATATTAAAGGAGAATGAATAGCTTGGCATCTCTTACCTAACTGGTAATCAGAATGCTCATATTAAACAATTTCTAGTTTAAGAGCTTGTTTCTTTTGCAATAAGTTGCTCTGCTAGCTGGGACTCTCTTGCTTTCTCAAGGGGGCATATAAATTTATAGGCCATCTACTAAAATATAAGCCAGATCATATGAGGTTGTAGGGAGAATGTAATTTTAGTTTCCATTTATGCCTTTATCATTGAATTCGAAGACATGTTTATGCTTCATGTTCTTTAACCATGTAGAGGAAGCAAGGGAAGAGTTGAGAGAACAGGTTTATGACGCCATGGGAGAAAAAGCAGCAGCCAAAAAACCAGAAGACAAGTGTCTGGAAAGGCCTGAAACTGAAAAAGAGCAAGAGAGTATAATGGAGAAGGGTGGAAGAGAAGATATGGACATAAGTGAGCCTGCAGAGGAGCTACAGGAGAAAGTTGAATTGACTCCAGATCAGTTAACTGAAACCTCTGAAGAGGCAGAAGGAACAGCAGCAACAGGACTGAATGAAGCTTTTGGGAAGGCAGAACAGGAAGCACCATATGCTGAGGAAGGAAAATCAGTTTCTGGAGCTGACATCCAGGAAGAAGAGTACAGAAAAAGAGGTGGTCAGGAAAAACAGAGAGAGGTCATTGTGAGCATAGAGGAGAAGCCAAGAGAAACTGCAGAAGAACAGCCTGTTGTGACTCTAGAAAAGCAGGGTACTGCAGTGGGGTCGGAAGCAGAGCCGGTAGAAGCGACAGTTAAGCCAGCGAATGTGGGTGGGGATGAGCCAAAGGAAAAAGCAGTTACCTCTGAAAATGAGCCAGGAAAGGGTGTTCTTGAGAAGCTGATGGAAAAAGAAGTGCTTCCTGCTAAAGAGTCACTGGAGGTGACGGTACAGGCTTCGTCTTCAGAGGTGTTGGCTGCAGAGGCTGGATCAGAAGTCTCTGAAAAGCCTGGGCAGATTACAGTTCTTCCTAAGGATGGTACAGTCAGTGCACTGTCAGCTGCAGGAGATCAGACTCCTACTGAACCACAGACTTCTGCAGAGACCCTGACAGATATAAAAGATGGCTCAGGAGTAGAGGAGGTTAGGGAAGACCTGGTTCCTAGTCAGGAGGAAGCTAAGCTGCCTGTAGAAGAGTCTAAGGCAGCTGGAGATGGGGTTGAGACCAAGGTAGCCCAGGTGGCTACTGAGAAATCACCTGAAGACAAAGTTGAGATAGCTGCTAATGAAGAGACACAAGAGAGAGAAGAACAGATGAAAGAGGGTGAAGGTAACCGGGATATGCAAGAGCTGCAGTGGGTGGAGTACATTCTGGATTTGACTCACTAATCATGGGTAAAAGTCAGCCTTCCATTCAGGATTTTCCGTCTGCCTTTGGATTGGGAAAGGGCTAAATGAAATGGGGGTAGTTGAAGAAGATTGTAATAAGTTGAACAAGTTAAAAGCAGCAAGTCGTCTTTAGCTGGCTTATAAACTAACGCTTTTACTAACTGCAAAATAGCTGTTCTCTGATTTCTGAGACTTGGCTAGCTACTAGTAACTTGTTGCACATTACCAGCTAGTAAAGGTGGGAGAAGGGTGGGGTAGGTAGGGAAATAGTGGGCTAGGCTGGCAGAGAATGCTGAATGGATGTTCACTTGCATGCCTCTGGATTTTTTGGTTACTGTTCACGTGGTTCCTTTTCTCTGCTTTAGGAAGCAGGAACAGAACAGTAGAATCCACTGAATTGGTACACTTAAGCAGGCATGCCATTTAAATGAAGGCAACAGCTAACCTTGAATCTTATCACCAAAATTAATTCTGCTGCCTCTCGGGCTGCGTCTTCAGAGGTGTTGGTTGCAGAGGCTGGATCAAAAGTCTCTGAAAAGCCTGGGCAGATTACAGTTCTTCCTAAGGATGGTACATCAGTGCACTTTCAGCTGCAGAAGATCAGACTCCTATCAAACCACAGACTTCTGCAGAGATTCTGTCAGAAACAAAAGATGGCTCAGGAGTAGAGGAGTTAGGGAAGACCTGCTTTCTAGTCAGGAGGAAACTAAGCTGCCTGTAGAAGAGTCTAAGGTAGCCCAGGTCGCTACTGAGAAATCACCTGAAGACAAAGTTGAGATAGCTGCTAATGAAGAGACACAAGAGAGAGAAGAACGGACAAAAGAGGGTGAACAAATCGAAGGTTGCTACTGAGAAATCACCTGAAGACAAAGTTGAGATAGCTGCTAATGAAGAGACACAAGAGAGAGAAGAACAGATGAAAGAGGGTGAAGGTAACCGGGATATGCAAGAGCTGCAGTGGGTGGAGTACATTCTGGATTTGACTCACTAATCATGGGTAAAAGTCAGCCTTCCATTCAGGATTTTCCGTCTGCCTTTGGATTGGGAAAGGGCTAAATGAAATGGGGGTAGTTGAAGAAGATTGTAATAAGTTGAACAAGTTAAAAGCAGCAAGTCGTCTTTAGCTGGCTTATAAACTAACGCTTTTACTAACTGCAAAATAGCTGTTCTCTGATTTCTGAGACTTGGCTAGCTACTAGTAACTTGTTGCACATTACCAGCTAGTAAAGGTGGGAGAAGGGTGGGGTAGGTAGGGAAATAGTGGGCTAGGCTGGCAGAGAATGCTGAATGGATGTTCACTTGCATGCCTCTGGATTTTTTGGTTACTGTTCACGTGGTTCCTTTTCTCTGCTTTAGGAAGCAGGAACAGAACAGTAGAATCCACTGAATTGGTACACTTAAGCAGGCATGCCATTTAAATGAAGGCAACAGCTAACCTTGAATCTTATCACCAAAATTAATTCTGCTGCCTCTCTACTTTTGATCTTCAGGAAGTGTTCAGAGGCTTTAGTTAAAACAGTTTCCCCAAAAAATGACAACAAGAAGTTGACCCATTAAGCCCTCTTGCTCCTTTCCACTCTAATTTTATGCTTGCTTTGGCTGGTAAACTGAGGTGCTTTTACTAGGTTGTTATCAAGCATGGATGTTTGTAGTGGTGTTTATTGGTCAATTGTGATTCAATTTTATCAAGATAAATATAAGCCTCTATTTAGTAATTCTACAATTGGCATGTCTGACTTGAGTTGTGTTATCATTTGAGGATTCTACTGTGTATAAGGTTCATCTAACACTGGCATTAATAACCACAGACATATTCCAGTGAATTGTTAATTACTTGTAATTGCCAGCTATTTCAAGAGTTCTTAAATTTTACACTTTCAAAGACTTACCTACTTAGAGTATGTTCTGGTGAACTTCCTTGTACCTATGTGTAGGTCTCTGTACTCCAGCCAGCACAGGCACAGTGACCAGAAGTGAATTGGCTAAATGATAGCACCATTGGGCTTATACTTTAGAGAGAAGCACAGAACTGAATTCCTCTAATTATTTATTTATTTTTTTAAAAAATTGATTTATTTAACTTTCTTCTGTTTTTTTTTTTTTTTCTTCCTTTCTTTCTCCTTCCTTCTGCTTGTCCATCTTTCTTTTTGACCAGTGAGGAACAGAGTGAGTGAGTGAGTGAGTGAGTGAGTGAGTGAGAAAGCAAGCAAGCCGCCAGGTCCGGGACTCAAACCTCAGTCAGCCACATGGGAGTCCAGTGCCCTTAACCACCATGTCACCTGCTGGCTCCTGAATGCCTCAGTTTTTGTTTTCAGTCATTACTTAATTTGTTTATAATTTTAAATTTAAATTTTCTAATGTAATTTAAAAAATTCAACTTTATTTCATTCAGTTATCTATCTATCTTAATTTAACCAAAGAGGGACAGAGTGAGAGAGAAAGTGAAAAAGCCATTCACCAAGTCTGGGACTTGAACCAGAGTTGGCCATGTGGGAGTCCAGTGCCATCAACCACCATGCCACCTGCCAGCCCCTAATATTAATATATGTATATTTTAGAGACATTTTTCCTGTAGGGTTTTTGCGTTCACCATAGGACAAAAAGTGAGAACTCATTCCCCCACCCCTCAGAGGGGATAATCATGCTGCAATTCCTTCTCTATTCTCTTGCGGTTTTGGGCATGCACACAACGCATGCACACGTGCCTGGGGTGAGTTTTAAGCCGCCAGGTCTGGGACTCAAACTGTGGTTGACTGTGTGGATTCTAGTGACATAACCATTATGCCATCTGCTGCTTCCATATAACTATTAATATTTGAAAATTTGCTACAGGGCACATGTGCTCAGCAGCAGAGATAGAATGGGGGGACGGGGAGTGAGAAAACAAGCCACCCAGTCTTGTACTCAAACCATGGTTGGCTGTGTGGGAGTCTAGCGCCTTAACCATCATAGCATCTGCTGGTCTCTGATTTCCTCAAATTTTAAAACTCATGTCTTGTAATTTTCTTTTTCTATTTTTGAGTTTGTTTATTTAGTGAGAGAGTGAGAAGTACCCCCAACAAAATTTTTTTAAAAAGAATTATTTTATTTAACTTTATTTATTATTATTATCATTATTATTTTCGTTTGATCACAGAGAGACAGAGAGAGAGAGAGAGAGAGAGAGAGAGGAAGAGAGAAAGCAAGCCACCAGGTCTGAGACTTGAACCGTGGTTGGCCATGTGGGAGTCCAGCGCCCCTATCCACCATGCCACCTGCCGGCCCCCCCAACAAACTTTTTAAAAAGAGTTATTTTATTCATTCATTCATTCATTTTAATTTGACCAAAGAGACAGAGAGAGAGAGAAAGTGAGAAAACAAGCCACCAGGTCCAGGACTTGAACCATGGTCGGCCATGTGGGATTGTCCAGCGCCTTAACCCACTACACCACCTGCCGGTCCCAACAAACTCTTCATACTACAATCTGCTCTGAAACCTAGCCAGCCCAAGATCATAGGCATAGGGAGACCTCAGAATGTGAATTGAGGAATTTATCATGCAGCCTCAGCATAAGAACATTATGTTATTACCGCACCACTGCAGCTGACCCTGTGCTTTATTCATTTTTTTTTTGAGAGAGAGATTTTTGTTACAGGGTGTGTGCGCTCGCCAGACAGACATAGAGACTGAAAGCGAGAAATCACCCCCCAGGGGGGATGGTCACGCCACAATCCCTTCTCCTCCATTCTCCTCTCGGGATCTTGGGCACGCATGCACACGCGCCCGGCGTGAGTTTTAAGCCACCGGGTCTAGGACACGAACTGCAGTTGACTACGTGGGAGTCCAGCGACATAGCCATTACGCTAACTGCTGGTTCCCCCGGCGTGAGTTTTAAGCCACCGCGACGCGAACCACGACTACGTGGGAGCCCAGCGACATAGCCATTATGCTAACTGCTGGCTCCCGCCCTGTTTTATTCTTAGTGTTGGTGAACAAGGATAGTAAAAAGTTCTGCTGGCTCTCTTAAATTGGGCTTTGATATAGTAGGTAGATAAGTCACATTTCTTTTTAGTTTTTGTCGTAGGCTGTGTGTGTTGGCTGTAAAGACATAGATGGTGAGAAATCATCCCCCAGGGAGAGGCCATGCCACATTCTCTTCTCTGTTTTCCCAGGATTTGGGGCATGCATGCACATTTGCCGGGTTTTTCTCAAGCTGCCGGGTGTAGGACTCTTAACTGTGCTTTCAGCCATGTGGGATCCAGCTGCCGTAACCACTCTGCCACCTGTGCCACCGGCTGGCCACAAGATACCATATTTCCTCATAGATTGTTCAGAAATCATTGTTGGATCATAAGTAACATTGCTAGAGCTCTCTCATATATGTTATTTCTGATTACAAAACAATCCTATTGTTTTGGGCTGATAGGTAATATTACTTTAGTTATAGTGAAGAGGAAGTCGAGGCTTAAAGATTATTCAGCTTGTTTAAGGTCAGAGTATAAGAGTAGTGAGTGAATCTATTGAATATATTGCCTTGGATATTTTGTTGTTACTAGTCTCCCTTCCACTGAGGAAGGCATTTTTATTCCTCCCCTTTATGTACTTAGCAGAAATTTACTGGACACGTTTTTGGGGGGGTGAGTGGATAAGGTTTTTGCCATAGGTTGCCTATGCTCACCAGAGAGCAGATATCTACCAGCCCTTGGGAGATGGCCACACTGCAGTCCTCCATTCTCCTCTTGAGATTTTGGGCATCCACTCACATGAGTCCGGTGTGATTTTCAAGCTACCAGGTCTGGAACTGGAGATGCAGAGTAGGCTATAACCTCCATGCCACCTACTTGCCTTGGACACTGATTTTTAAGTTATTTTCAAAAGTCCAGAGTTTTCACTAGTTGTATTTTTTAGATTTTATGTGCCAGGTTCTACTTATAAATTTTACAAATGAAGATATGGGAGAAAGGTTGAATAACTTGTCCTATTAACACAGTAAAGAGTAAGCTGGGAACCTACAATGTGACTCAGGGTTTTGTCACTTACTAGGCTTTTAGTTCTCTTTAATGTGACAACATTGGTTTGAAGGATCTTGCCAGTGGTTTTATTCTTTAAAGTGCATTTCCTACCACCCAGCTGACTTTTTGTTATCTCAAGCTCCATATCCCTAATAAAGAAAATTGGCCTGTTCTTTTTTCATTATGCCAGATGTATTGGTGTCAAAGAAAAAAATTTTAAATTGTGGGTACAAAGCTTGGCTATGCTCAGATGAACTCTACTGGCAGTCTGTGGTAGGAACCCGACTTCCCTGTGCAAGTGTTAGAATAACCAGGAATTAAACCTTTTTATTTATTTATTTTTAATTGCCAAGGGCACATGTACTCACCAGAAAGGAAGTAACACATGGCCACGCTGCAGTCCCTTCTCCATTTCTCCATCCTGACAGAGTTTGGGCACTCACAACCATCTAGTTTCTCAAACTACCAGGCTGGGATTCAAACCGCAGTTGACCATATGGGAAACAGTTCCCTTAATTAACCATTAGGTTATAGGGCCAGCCCTCATCACCTTTTCTTTAACTTTGAGAGTCATTCTGGTTTACACCACTCTGCCTGTATTGTTTTGCTCTGCCTGCATTGTAAATGCTTCAAGATCTAAGTGGCATTTCACTTTCACTGAAGGATGGAATAGACGTACCACAAAAAATACCCCAAAGCAGCTCGGAAAATATTTTAACAAAATATTTGTTCATGACAGCAGGGAGCTAGCCAGTTAGGTGATGGTTAAGGCTGCTGATCCCACAATGGCCAACTACACAGTTCATGTCCTAGACTGGCAGCTTGGTAAGCCATGCTATGTGTGTGTGGTCAAAATCTCAAAAGAGAAAGAGAAAGCTTTGTATGACTGTCCCTCATGGGGGATGATTTCTTAATTCTGTCCCTTGCACACTCACTAGCACACATGCCCTCTAGCAAATCTAAAAAAATAAATTGCAGGACCAGCAGGTGATGTGGATAAGGCACTGGGCACCCTCATTGCTGACTATGATTCAAGTCCCGGACCTCATGGCTTGCTTTCTCAGTTTTTTTTTTTCTCTGATGAGTGTAGGTGCCCAATAGCAAATTTAAAAAGAATAATAATAATGAGTAAAATTAAGTAACTCTTTAAAAAATTAAATTGTGGTAAAACTACAAGTAGTTATTTTATGCTGAAGTAGATGTCATTTAGCAACCAGTATGAGTAGGAACAGATTCTAGACAATTAAAGTAACAAGATCAATGCTTTATTCTTTTAATTGGTTTATTTATTTATTTATTTATTTTTTGAGAGATTTTTGCTATAGGGCGCGTGCACTCACCAGACAGAGACATAGAGACAAAGCGAGAAATCACCCCCTTGGGGGACAGTCACGTCGCAGTCCCTTCTCCATTCTCCTCTCGGGATCTTGGGCACGCACGCACACGCGCCCGGTGTGAGTTTTAAGCCACAAGGTCTGGGACGCCAGGTCCGACTCCGTGGGAGTCCAGCGACATAGCCTTTACGCTAACTGCTGGTTCCCTTTAACAAATTGTTATGATGAAGTGTTTAGGAACTAACAAGTTAACTGTTGTTTAAGGTATTAGACTCCCACATGACCAACTGATTTGAGTAATGGACCTGGTGGCTTGCTTTCTCATTTTCTCTCTCTGGTCAAATTATAACAGTAAATAAATAATTCTTAAAAAAAAATGAAGTTTTTTTTAAATTTTTTTTTAATTTTTAAAGAAATACATAGATCTATTTCAGCTCTCTTGCATTGCATATTCTGCTGAGGGATGGGAGAGTCAATAAAACCAACTGTGGGGGTCAGCAAATGGCGTAGTGGTTGAGGCGCTAGACTCCCACATGGCCAGCTGTGGTTCAAGTCCCAGACTGGGGGTCTTGCTTTCTCAGTCTGTTTCTCTGTCTCTGGTGAGCATATATACTCTGTAGCAAATTTTAAAAAATACTGATAAATCTTTTTTAAAAAACAATAAAAACTGCCTGTCTCTATTTCAAATTGGGGGATCTAAGCCCATACACTTGGCAATTTGGACATGAAATTTCCTAATTATGGTAACTATTTCAGGAATACTGAATTATGTTGTCAGTGGAGAAGATTGAGCCACTTGCCAGGGTTTGTTTGCTATAGATACCAACTACATTGTACCTTACAACTTTATTTTTTTAATGAATTTATTTTATTTTTTGAGATTTTTTTGCTAATAGGGTACATGTACTTGCCAAAGAGATAAAAAACGAAAAATCATCCTCTGGGTGGGACCGCCACACTAATCCCTTATCCATCTCCTTGGGAGTTTGGGCACATGTGCACACGTGTCTGACATGAGTTTCAAGGCTCTAGGTTTGGGACTCAAACTTCAATTGGCCATGATGGAGTCCAGTGATGTAACCATTATGCCATCTGCTGGGTCCCTATTTATATTTATTTTTAAGTTTGCTACAGGGCACACATGCTCACCAGAGATACAGATTTTTTTTTCCTTAAAAAAAAATTAATAGGGCTAAGGCATAATTGCCATATTTACTTTATCTTTTTTTTTTAAGAGTTGTTTAATTTTATTTATTCATTCATTTATTTTAATTTGACCAGAGAAAGACAGAAATAGAGTTAAAGTGAGAAAGCAAGCCACCAGGTCCAGGACCTGAACTATGGTCGGCCATGTGGGAGTATCCAGCGCCTTAACCACCATACCACCTGCAGGTCTTGTATTTGAACTTTTGCTGGTGTTACAGTGCTTAGTAAAAGGCAGTAGGAGGTAGACAAGTTAAACTCAATTTGTGAATTATTCACACTGACAAAATGCTCATTTTCTTTTCTTTTTGGATTTTTACCATAGGGCTTGTACACTTGCTGGAGACAGATGACAGGGAAAGTGAGAAAATACCCCATCCTCCCCCACCCTTCCAAGGGGGACAGCCACACTACAATCCCTTCTATATTCTCCTCTGGGGATTCTGGGCACGTACCCAGTGTGGTTTTCAACCCTCCAGGTCTGGCACTTGAACTGCAGAGTTGCGGGATCCAGCACCTTAACTATCACACCACCTGCTGTCCCCACGCCCATTTCATTACTCAAGAATTTGAGCTTTGTGTTGTCTTTTCACTAAGATAGTAGAGTTATTAAGCATGCTCTCCTTTAGGCAGTTGACTTGTCAGTGTATGACAAAATGGTGAATTAAAAAAAATTTTTTAACAAGTACCGTGGTGTAAAATAACGATATGGTATTGCTTATTCAGTATGTGCTAGAACTGGCTGGAGTCTGTGGCATACTCATTGGTGAGAGTTGATGATAAAAGAACTGTCCTTTTTCCCCCCCGCATCTTTGTTGTGAGAAAGCTGTTCTCTTGTTCTGAAGGGACTGGAATTATTTAACTTTTGGTACCTTCCCAGCCTTATTAGTATTATCTAACAAATGAGGCCTCCCTCCACTTGCCTCTTGCTGGGATAGCAGCTTCTAGCCAATGAATGAGAAGCAGTAAGTATATGTCTTATTCTGAATTATCCAAGTCAACTTTTATAAGAACACTCAGCTGTTCCATTGTTGAGGTTCTGACCCATAGTCTATACTGGTACACATTCTGAGCCTAGATTAGACCTGACTGAGTTAGATAACTACTGACTTTATATTTAGTTCTGATGTTGACTTTGATTAGTATCTGTCTGGCCTGTCTCAGTGTATGTCGACAGATAAATTTATTAAAATCTGACTACTCAGAAGATATCCTTAATTATGTTTTCCAATACTGAGGAATTTTTGCTTGTAGAAATTGAAGGTTCAGAAGAAGAGGATAAAGAAAATGACAAAGCTGAAGAAACACTAAACAGTTCAACTCTTGAAAACAAAGTAAGTTGTTACTCATTCAGTACCATGGTCTGCTTTTCAGCTGTAGAACTATAGCTTACTGGTGTTGGTATGATCTTATAGAGAGCTCTTTCTTGGTTACGGGTTGGGGACTTTTTATTTATTCCTAGAATGCACAGATATGTTCGTTCTAGGGAGTCCTGCCTGTTAGAACAGGTTCCAACATAACAATAAAGTGATGATTTAAAATAGAAACATCATTGGCATTCATTCTGTAGGTTTTAGAAAGTTCAAGTTTTTGGGTCATGTTTCAGGTAGTTCTGCTATAGCAAATTAAATACTTAGATTGTTCTCTAGAAAGATGCCTGTCTTGTACTTCTGCCTAATACCAATGATTTGGATATACTTCAGTCTCTTCAAGAAAATGAAGAGGAGGAGATTGGGAACCTAGAACTTGCCTGGGACATGCTGGATTTAGCAAAGATCATTTTTAAAAGGTAAACTTGGTGCTTTTAGGCTCACGTTGGGAGCTTGATGTTTGAGATTAGCAAGCAGTTAGGGTTGGACAAGTACTATTAAGGATTCTGATCAACTTTTCTTTTTTTAGGCAGGAAACAAAAGAAGCCCAGCTTTATGCTGCACAGGCACATCTTAAGCTTGGAGAAGTTAGTGTTGAATCTGGTAATATTTCCATTTTATTCTCCTCCTACCTTCCTTACCCCCCTATTCTTCCTCTAATAGATTCTATAGAATCTAGCTTGATTGATCATAAGCTGATGGTTTGCTTTTTAAAAACTGTAGTTTGGATTTTCTACAGTCAGTAGAACAATGAGTATGACACACTGAAAGTATTTCAGAAAGCTTAATTTTTTTTTTTTTCGTAAATAGATTTTTGCTATAGGATGTGTGTGCTCGTGCTCGCCAGTGAGATGGATAGAGACAGAAATCGAAAAGTAAACCCCCTCCCCCCCAAGGGGATGGCCATGCTGCAATCCCTTCTCCATTATCCTCTCTGGATTTTGGGCATGCATGCAAACATTCCTTGCATGAGTTTTAAGCATCCATGTTCAAGACTTGAACTGCAGTCAACTATGTGGGAGTCATATAACAATTGCACCACCTGCTGGTCCTAATATTTAACATTCTTTTTTTTTTTTTTGGAAGAGGTTTTTGCTATAGGGCGCATGCACTCGCCAGACAGACAGAGGGAGACAGAGAGACAGAAAGCGAGAAATCACCTCAAAGCTGGGATGGCCACGCCGCAATCCCTCCTCCTCCAGTCTCCTCTCAGGATCTTGGGCACGCATGCACACGTGCCCGGCATGAGTTTTAAGCCACCAGGTCCGGGACTCAAACCGCGGTTGACTACGTGGGAGTCCAGCAACATAGCCATCACGCTAACTGCTGGTCCCTATTTAACATTCTTAATAGAGAAGGATCCTGGAGCTGCTACGGAAAATAATTTAAAATGGGGTACATTCCTGCAGAATGGGATCTGAATTCAGGAGGTAACTTTCCACTAAATGTCCTTTTATTTGCTATTTTTTTCCTTCTTTAGAGAACTATATTCAAGCTGTGGAAGAGTTCCAGGCTTGCCTAAGCTTGCAGGAGCAGTACCTAGATGCCCATGACCGTCTCCTTGCAGAGACCCACTACCAGCTGGGCTTGGCCTATGGCTACAACTCTCAGTATGATGAGGCGGTGGCACAGTTCAGCAAATCTATTGAAGTCATTGAGAAGAGAATGGGTGAGTGAGCACCACTTGCTTCTTGATTTTGGTGGTTCTAGCAACAGACATGGTTATTTTTTTAAAGTATCTTGGGGCTTGCAGGTGGCATGTTGATAGGGGTGCTGGACTCCCAAATGGCTGATTGTACTTTGAGTCCTGGCCCTGGTGCCTAAAAACCCTCTCTGGTCAAATATAAATTAACAATTTAATCGAATATAATAATTCTTTAAAAGTTTTTTTAAAAAGGTAATCCTTTTGCATAAATGTTACTGAATTTTAGTCTCTTTGTAGCTAAACTAAATGAACAGATGAAAGAAGCTGAAGGATCACCTACTGAATATGAGAAAGAAATCGAGGAGCTGAAAGAATTGCTACCTGAGATTAGAGAAAAGATAGAAGATGCAAAGGAGTCCCAGCGTAGTGGGAATGTAGCTGAATTGGCTCTGAAAGCGACCCTGGTTGGTGTGATTTCACTTTAATGTTTGGATAATGGCATGGTAGTACATTTGTATTCTACCCAAAAGGTGTTTATGTTCTGTTTGGTAGTGAGTCGGCATCATTACTTGGCTTCCAGGGAGCTGGTGATCAGAGAGGACGGGAGAGTTGATCTGATTGTTATCAGTAGTTGGTTAAGAAACTGTTCCGGAGCCAGATGGCCTGGGTTTGAATTCCATCTCTGCTGTTTACTATCTGTGATCATGGGCATTTCTCCACCTTAGTGGGCTCATCTGTAAATATGGGATCATTGTACCTCTGTATATATGTCTGACAGTATCAGGCAAAGAGAAATTGCTTAGCAAGTATAAGGTATAGTTATATCTCTGAAAACTCTTTCTGCATCAATTAGCAAGTCATTGAAGGCTTTTAAAAACCTCAAATTGCTTGGCACTGCTTTTGGTGGCTGGGGATATCAGGGAGCTTTCTACCTTGTAGGTAGGATATAGAGGGTTTAGTTTATATACCTATACTTCACCATTGCTGTGGCAGAGGTAGGATGGATGCCATTGCTAGAGGCCAAAAATATCTCAGTCCTTAAATCAGGTACTTGGGTGGTGGGTACCTATTATAAAGCTGTGGGTAGCCTGTGGGTGTGCCGGAGCCCACTTGGGTTTGTCATCTCACACAGGTGGAGAGCTCTACCTCAGGTTTTACCTCCAGTGGAGGAGGTTCTTCAGTCTCCATGGTAGGTATTCGTGTACATTTTGTCACGTAATATTGGGTCTCTCTTGGTCTCATATAACTTGTACATTGCAAACAAAGGCTTCATTTTAACAGATTGCCAGTAGAAAGCCGACAGACGGTGCTTCCTCATCAAATTATGTGACTGATATTTCCCACCTTGTCAGAAAAAAGGTAAATCTATAAATGATTCTTTCCTACCTTTACCCAGCCTGTATTTTTTGGGGTCCCAGTGATACATGAACAATACTTTTATTATAAACTTTCCTAATAATAGTTGAAGTAATAATATACTCCTTTTGCTAAGTTGGTGATTTGTGAGGGAAGACAGTTTTCACTTGGATACCTCTTCCAGAGAAATAGTCCTGGACTTCAGATCAGAAAACTGCCAAGGAAGCTGGCAGATTTTCTTGGGCAATAGTCATTCATTAGCAGGCTTGCTAATACTCGACACTCCTGTGGGTGCCTGCTCCCTGTAGTTCCAAAACCCTTGTCTTGGGGATGGTCGGGTAAGGTAGTCAACTTCTGCTTGGTTTCCTTACTCAAATGTAGGAAGTCTAATTTGTACTTTTGTTACTGCTCATATGTACTCCTTATTCCTACCCTACCCTACTTGATTCCAGTCGGGAGACTTAATTGGTATGTTGAGACAGACTGATTTATTCTGCAGGGTATAGGCATGCATTTGCTTCCTGTGGCCAGGGAGAGACTTCCCTAAAGCTATAAATCCTGGTGTTCAGGATCTTAGTACTATGGGGTCAGTGTCTCACACTTGTCTTTTTAAAACCATTACATTTGTTGTGAAGTCTTCACAATTTTATCTTTAGAGGAAACCAGAGGAAGAAAGCCCCCGGAAAGATGATGCAAAGAAAGCCAAACAAGAGCCGGAGGTGAATGGAGGCAGTGGGGATGCTGTCTCCAGTGGAAACGAAGTTTCAGAAAACATGGAGGAGGTGGGCAGTTAAGCAGGGCTTGGCCTCTTGCCTCATCCTCTGGGGAAACCAGCTTTTCCATGTGCACGTTTCCCACCTTGAGCCTGTTTGGACTGCTTGAGTGTAACCCTTATAGTGGGCTGTTGTGCCAGAAACATTTTGGTTATAGAATGTAGAATGTCTCGCTGACAAATGGAACCTATCCCACAGGTCTCCTCTAAGGAGAGTAGAGTATGAGAGAAGGCACTTTATTGGCAAGACCGTTACGTTGTTTCTGGTTGTTCCTTTCCATGTATATGTGATTATTGGTTCAGTCAGCCCTATTATCACATAGGGTTCAGGAAATGGCATTGTATTTTATGGTCACTGTCCTCTTAGTATAGGGAACTGTTTGGGGGGACTGTGTTCACTTCCTCTGGGTGAGGTTTGCTTGGTTATGTAAAATGGAATGACTTAAACTAGTCACTTATGCCCAGGCTCCCTGTTTGTCTTCCAGGCTGAGAATCAGGCCGAAAGCCGGGCAGCAGTAGAGGGGACAGTGGAGGCTGGAGCTACAGTTGAGAGCACTGCATGTTAAGAAAGGGAGCAGAGCCTTCCTCCCAAGGGAAAGTGTTTTTGTATATAATGTATTTTTTCACTTTTGGGGGATTCTTTTTGTATAACTTCAATAAAGATTGTAAGCAAAGTTTGTGGCTTTGAAGCTTTTCTTAAATATGGGCTGAATTTGTGCCTTGGAAAACTCCAAGTTTTATATAGTGGCCAAAGGTACCTTTTTTTTTGTTTTCTTAATTTTGGCCTTCTCTACTTATCTGTTTAAGTTCAAATCCCAGTTCCTGACTTCACATGGAAGTGATCAAATCAAGTGCGGCCATAGGCCCTTCATCCTCCAGTGGTGCTGTATCCTTTCTGTTTTCAAATATTTGAACCTAGTGGCTGACCCTGCTTGGTTAAAAAACAGGACTTGAAAGTCTTCTTTGGTGCTGAAAATGGATGATGGACTTTGGCTGCGAGCCAGGCTTGGGTGGCATCCATCTTCGGTTCACTTAGTCTCCAACTGGGGTTGTAATCCTGGCCTGGAGGAGAAAAACAAACTGAAGAAAACCGAGGAAAACGGTTTGTGTAATTGTACAGAATTGCGCTCTGGTTTGGAGGGGACTGAGGAAACTGATGTTGAGGAATACTTTGAATATGGTTGGAAGAATCTGTGAAGGCTGGCTGGCTTAGATTTATTTTGTGTATAGAAAGGTTGGAATATAGCAACACTGGAATTGTTATGCTGTCTGTAATTTTGACTTTTCAAATAAAGATACTTTACATCTCTTGATCTGGAATTGTGTTTGAAGATGTTAGGCAGGATCCTGGGCTGCCTGGAGGATTTCAGTATGGGATCTGAGGTTAAAAAACAGAAGTTGGGTTTCCAATCCAAGGGTACTATGGAACTGGTTATTGTATTAATGCCCCATCCTTGGGTTATTGATGTCCAGAGTACAGGGCTCAATTTAGACCCTGACCTGACCTTGAACCAGGTGCTGTTTGAATTCTAAACATTGGTCCTATGTTACCCAAGGGGCTCTAGGCAATTCTGAAGCCATAGAGCTACTTTGCCACAGTGAACCTGTTGTTTTTAACATTGTTGAGGACAGAGAGAGTTGTGCTGATCTACAAGAGAATGCCATTTGTCAGTTTATTTTTTATTTATTTTTTCCTAAACTAAGAAAAATTGAGTTTTTCTGGGCTAGCTGCAGTAACACAGGGCTGCAGAATCTCTGACTTAACACTGGCTTTGAACTTCTCTCCTGAGGAAGGCCTTGTGTAACTGAGGCTTTTTTGTGTTAGGACAGTCATAGCTTGATCTCCCCCCCCCCTTTGGTTGACATTGGGGTTTGGGGCTAGGCACAATGTCTAGTGCAATTCGATCTCACATGACACCCCTATTTGGGAGGAGCACCAATGGGCTATGCCCTATGTTAGAGTCCAATAGTAAGAGGCCTCAGAATCAGTCATCCTGTTTATTGGGAGACTGACTTCAAACCTGTGAGACTTCCTGGTAGAAGTCTTGAAGTTGGGATGTGAATAAGTCCAGCAATAAAACTGGCTCTAGGAGGGGACCAGCAGTTAGCGTAATAGCTATGTCGCTGGACTCCCCCATGTAGTTGGCCGCAGTTCACGTCCCGGACCCAGTGGCTTAAAACTCACGCCGGGTGCATACATGCCCAAGATCCCAAGAGAAGGGATTGCAGCGTGACCATCCCCTCTGGGGGGTGTTTTCTTGTTTTCTGTCTCTGTCTGACGAGTGCATACACCCTGTAGCAAAAAAATAAACAAAAAAAACCCTGGCTCCCTGGCCTTAGGAGAAATGGCTGTGCCCTGGCTTTTATTTAAAGTTCTTTAGTTGGGATTAAAGAATGCCTCCTGGGACCAGTAGATGGCATCATCGTGTTGCTGGATTCAGACGTAGTTAACCGTGGTTCAAGTCCTGGATCCGGTAGCTTAAACATGCTGGGTGTATGTGTGTGTGTGCGCTCAAAATTCTGAGAGGAAAATGGAAAAGGTATTACGGTGTGGCCATGCCCTGGGCATGTGTGCGTGTGTGTGTGTGATTTCTCACTTTCTGTCTCCTTGTCACTCCATGAGTACATACTCTAGCAAAAATCTCTAGAGAGTAAGGACTGGCAGGTGATGTGGTTAAGGCAGCTGGACTCCCACATGGCTGACTGTGGTTCGGGCCCTGGACCTGGTAGTGTGCTTTCTTTATGTCTCTCTGGCCAATTAAAAAAAAATAATGACAATAAATTTTACCTTTCAGAGAACTTTTTAATGTGCCAGGGAGTATTATAAATACCTGCTATCTTGTTCTCATAATCTGACCAAAAAACAGGTATGGTAAGGTCAAGTATTTGTGGGAAGTGGTAAAGTTGTGGTTAGAGCTCATATTTTGTATTCATAACTGCTCTGCTTCTAGACCCTGCTGCAGGTCTGGGAATAGGCTTTGATCCATGCCCTCATTTTGCACAGGTTACCAATGTTCACCTGATCTCAGAAACCCCGTGGGGGAGGATCAGAGCTGTGGTGAGGGCTCACATCCTGATCTCTTTCCTTGACTCTGTGGAGGGGCTCTTCCACAGTAGGTGGGGGGTCAGCAAAGCCAGCCATGGGGATGAGGGGGTTGGCTTTCAGTGAAGATGAGCTGGATGATACCTGTGGAATGGGCAGAAAGGTGTTTAGTATAACTATAGAGGTTCAGGGCACAGTTCTGGAGTCGGGACTTTGAGTTTCAACTATATACTATGAATCAAATTAATCTTTGATTTCCTTATCTATTATGAGGTCATTGGAAAAGTCATATACTTTCCTATTTCTATACAAAAATATGACTTCCCAACGACCCAGTAGTATCACTTAACCTAGTAAAGATGTGAGAAGCCCATGAATTAATGCACAGAGGTGGTTTTGTATTAGCTGGTATGTGGGCAGTAAAGGCTGGCTGTTAGCCAGGGCACCTGTGGTGTCCCTCGTTCTAGTTGGCCCTCACCGGTGGTGGGTACTGGTATGCGTGGGCACTTGCTGGATTGATCTCTGCCAGTGCCTGGACAGCTGCATCTCTTGCATTCACCAGTCGCAGAAAGAGCTCAGCCTGACCTGCCTGGGAAGAGGGGAGTTGGTTTTGCTTCTACCATGGAGGAGCAGACCCGCTTCCCACTCTCCATGCTTACCTGGGAAATCCCATTCAGCTGCTTGAGGCTTGGGTCCAGAGGAAGGGCCCGAAGCGGGAGGCGCCAATGGCCACTTAGCACCCGCTGGTCACTGTCAAATAACACCAGTGAGGCCCAAGCCTTTGACTGTGGTGCACTAGCCCATGCCTGCCCCTGCCAAGCTTGTAGTTCACAGACCATGGATACTGATGGTGAGGGTGGCAGTCTGTGGAACCACAAAGAGGGGTTGAAGTCAACGCTACCACTCCTTCCTAGGACTTCTGAGCCATACAGACCCTGAACACCGACGGAGAAATTTAGCAGGATGAGGAGTCTCAGTTATGGCAGAGTACTTAAGGCATGATCTCCATTTACTGACCTGGGCACAGGCTGCCTGCTGGCAAGGATGGCACAATTGCCAGTAGGCCCAGGGGCTGGAGGTGGAGGCAAACAAAGGGCTGGGGGCAGTGCTGTGGTCACTCCTGTATCATGTCCATCTCTGGCCAGGCCAGCCATTAGCTGCACCCAAGTCCAAGAAGCCTCAAGGCCCCGAAGGAAGTCATAGAAAATGACCAGGCCAGCCCTGGGGGACAGGAGTCTTAAGTACACAAACAGAATTCTCTCCTCTCACCCCTGCACTCTGCCCCAGCTCCTCAGCCGTAGCTGGCTCCAGTGGGCTCCTTAGTAGTGGTAGCCAAGTCCCCGGATACGGAAGAAGGGGCAGGCCTTACCCAGGGTCATAGGGCGCAGGGCCCAGCACATCACAGGTGGGCAGAAGGTGAGGATCCTGGCCTTGGTTCCTGGTCGTGATTTCAGGATGCTGTAGGTGCAGGGAAGAGGCTGCCTCCTAGAATGCCGCCTACCCGCGGGTGCCACCCTGCCCTAAGCTGAACTGGCCCAGCCCCACCCCCACGCTCTCTGGTCCTCACAGCCTTTTTCGTGTCTCCCCAAAACTGGGTGTCCATGGAGTTTGGAAGCGGCGGCAGCGGGGGTGCCACTGGTGGCGGGAGGAGTGGGGGATCCCCCTTTCCCTTTAAGCGTGGACTGGGGCTGGTCCTGGGCCCTAGGAGCAGAGAAAGTTGGTGCCTCATAACTGGGCTCGATACCCCTGCCCTGCCCCCATAAATGGATTCGCGGGGTAACGGATACAGGGACACACAGATGCATGGAAACAGGCCATTCACGCACGGGGCACAAACACGGCCTCCTTCCCCACACGCGTTCCCTCCACCCCTGCTCCCCAGCCAGGCCTGCTAGCGGGTGTTCATGGGATGGGCTGGGAGGGGGTGGGGTCACTGACCCCAGGGCTTCTGGGCCAGGCCCCTCTGCATCTGCAAGGCCAGGATTTGTGCCTCCAGGCGCCGGTTTCCGGCCTCCACCGACAGAAGCTCCCCCGCCCTTCCCGGGATGAGCAAGTCCCACTGGTCACCACCGGGTGCGACTCTGAGCAGCTCTCCAGCCTTCCAGCTCTCTGGACAAGGCAACACCCGGTTTCCTACCTCGGGTCTTTTGCTCAGGTGGTCCTCATGCAAAGGATGGCCCTCACACCCTTTCTTCCGCCCAGAACTGAGATCCCCGCGGCCGAGATGCCCTCCTGTCGAGCGCCCCCGTTCACCCCTGCGGGTCTGTGACCTCCACAGCTCCAGTGCTGATGCCTCCACTTGCAAATGCCAAATCTGGCTGAGAATGCTGGGGTCTTGGCCCCCGCCTCGAATGTAGGCCTCACGCAGGGCCCTAGGGAGTGGGGGACAGGAAAGCGGTCTTTCTGGGGACTCGGGACTTTGTCCCGCGCATGTCCTCGGGCCCCTGTCTCACCTGATCTCGGCAGCCAGAGTTCCTGGGTTGGCCGGTATGCTCGGAAAACTGAGCTCCGCTTCTCGCCAAGTGTCTGGCGGCTTCCTGGATCACCCAGCCAGCCACGCACCGGGAGACCACGTCACGGGTGGGGCTTCCAGGCGCGGCTGGGTCCGGGTCTCACGCAGGCTGCCGCTGTAGCTCTTGAACGCGCGTCTCCAGCATCTCTACAGCTCCCCGCGTCTGCCCGGCCTCAGCCCGGAGTTCTCGAAGTTCCTGCTCCAAGCGGAATAGGCGGGATATCCCAATCCTGGTCCGGGCCACGTCTTGGAGGCGCCGACTCAGTTCTGAGGGAGTAAGGGACTTGTCAGAATGGGTCCGAGCTACCGTAAGCCCGGGTCCGAAGCGGGTCCCTAGATCCCTTGTCCTTCACCCTCGCCGCGTCGCTCCAGAGCTCGGCTTTGTGCTTCCGTCTCTGCAACGCGCCTTGCTCGAGTCCGGTGCAGCGCCCGCAACCGCTCGCTGGGGCTGCCGGCCGCCTCAGAGACAGAACCCTGATGCAGGGCCTCTGAATGCGTCCAGGGCCCCGAACCCCTGGGGTCCTCTGTTATCCGGGTTCGCATTTCCTGTAGGGACAGCCGCAGGCACTGCACCTGGAGGTAACAGTGATCTGCCATCTCCGTGTTGGGGTAATCTGCCCCATAATGATCCACACGCGGGGAAGGACGCCCTAAGTTTGGGGGCATGGGAGAAGTCAGGAGAATGTACCTCCTCTGTTAGCCTCTTTAGAGCAGATTTGCTGGACTCCTGGCCTGGGAGATCCTGGAGTTCTTGTGGCAAAACCTGGGGATGGGGTAGGTATCCTGAGGATCGGCTCACTCGAATGCCCGCCCACCGCCACGGAGGAACCCTTACCGCAGCGCCAGGCGGTCCAGTAGTCACTGAGGGCTGTGCTCCAAGGGTCACGTCCCGGGCCAGGCGGCCAATGCAGAAGCGCTGAGTGTGAGTGGCCAACAAGGCCTGGGAGCGGAAAACCATGTCGCAGGACCCACAAGGCAGAAGCCCTGGCTCCCCAGAGTTGGAAGCCATAGGATGGAATCAGTTTGGTGACACAAGCCTGCAGAAGGTGGGACAGAAGGCAGAGAGAAGGCAGGGCTAGGTCTCTTGGGTCCAAGAGATTTTCATGTTTATGTTTGGGGAGGAGTCATCTTGGCTCCCTGGGCAGCATCAACAGGCCTGGGCAGGCTAAGTAGGATGGGTGGGGAAACCCTGACCACCTTTGGGAGGAGCCCTGGTGTCAGTGTCACAAAGCCTGTCCCACCTCATTGCATGGGCTTGAGCAAGTTGTTTCTTAGCACCACACCTTGGTTTCCCTGCCAGTACCTGTAAAGACAGCTGCCTCCTAGACCAGCTGGGCCCTTACCAATGCCCTGGCACTGGTCACTGAACAGCTTCTGGGGCCTTCTGCCTGGCAACCCCAGAATGAGTACCTCTTCTAGCGGGTGCATCCCTGGAAGCAACCACAGCTTTGGCATAACCATCTCACTCCCTTTCAGATTCCTCTGGTTCTTCAGGTGTAGAGCGAGAAAGTCTGCAGTACAGAGGATTAAGCTGTGGGAGAACATGATCAGGTGAGGGAATCAAGCCCAGAAAGAAACCCTTCCCCCAGTGGCCAGGAGCCAGGGGCCAGGCAGGTCTTTTCTTCATCAAATTATCCTCCATCAGGGGGCCAGACTGTGGCACGGTAATGTGGCTTGTTCCCACACAGCTATCTGCACAGCTGCGTTCCAGACCCTGTGGCCTGAAATCATGCCTGGACCGCCTGTGTACCCAAAAGGAGCAATGAAAGAGAAGGGATTCTCTTACCTTCCGTCTCTCCTAGGGCATGTCCCCTCTTCACAGTTATCCTCCAGTCTCCCCACAGCAAGAATGTTTTCATTTAAGTCAGAGGAGGGAGCTCTTGAGCTGGCCCCATATTTCTAAAGAGCTACTTTCTCTAAAGTAAGGCAGGCCAAGGTATGACCAGCACCCAAGCTATAGTGTTTTAAATAATTTGTTTTCAGTCTAGCTGAGAAATCCTAGAATAGGAAGATTTTTAGAAATATGTTCCAAGGGGCCAGCAGGTAGCATGGTGGTTAAGGGCACTGGACTCTCACATGGCTGATTGCAGTTCGAGTCCCAGACCTGGTGACTTGCTTCCTCGCTTTCCCTCTCTCTCTTGCTGGTCAAATAAAATAAAGTCAATTGAAATATATTTTTTAAAAAAATTGGGAACCAGCAGTTAGCGTAATGGCTGTGTCGCTGGACTCCCATGTAGTCGACCGCGGTTCGCCTCCCAGACCCGGAGGCTTAAAACTCATGCCGGGCGTGTGTGCTCAAGATCCTGAGAGGAGAATGGAGAAGGGATTGCGGCGTGACCATCCCCCCAGGGGGTGATTTCTCACTTTCTGTCTCTATGTCTCTGTCTGTCTGGCGAGCGCACACGCCCTATAGTGAAAAACCCCGCCAAAAAAAAAAAAAAAAAAAAAAAGTTCCCAAACAGCTAGTAAATGGCAAAGCCCAAAACTCAACCTACTTCTCAACTTGAATTTTAATAATTCTGCAACAATATAGTCTTACAGTATTTCAGTGATCCTAAGATGCATTTTTTCATATTTTAACATCAATATTCACAACTAAAGGAGTATCCAGTAATACACATTTTCATGGATTGCTTATACTATTCTAACAGTAGGAACTATAATTTACTATAGCAGATAAGGTTCCTGCGTTCTTGGCCATCAGAATTTGGAAAATGTCCCACATGTTGGCAAATGTCCCAAGTCTCTGTTCCTATCCTCTGCCTCCTCTGGTTCAGAGCCCATACGCGTGAGTTTGTCATAGGGTGGGAATGTTGAGTGGCGTTGTGTAAAGTCCTTGGTTCTTTGAGAATAGATCACTAAAATTAGAGACCTGTCCCTAGGCGCAAAATAAAGCAACAACCACAATAAAAGTACGTAGAAAAGAGAATTTAATAGGAAAGAAAGATTTTAGGAAAGAAGTACACCCAAAAGACTTGGGCAGCCAGGTTGCTAGGCAGCAACTGCGTTTGGGACTAGCTCATGTGTTATTACCAGAGGTGATAATGAATGTTTAACAGTGGGAGGTCTGTCACATTATCTGTGTCCTTTGAATTCTAGGGCTTCTTCAGCCTCTCTCTTCACAAGAAGAATTTGAGGCATTTCATCTAACTGCGCATGCCCACTGTGAGTCAAGATAGGTGCAACCTAATTAGGATAAAATGCCCAATTAGTTTATTGCCCCAGTGGGAATCAGGAGGTTGACCAAAATGTCTGGTTGGTATGAGGAATGATAAGAGGGAAATTTACAATCATCCCTGTGTCTTCCTCAAGTACTAAGGAATTAAAATGGTATTTGGCTCACCCTCCCAGAGCCAGGAGCTGGGTGGGAAGAAGGTATTTTGGGGAGAATCTGGTTGTAAGTCCTGATAAACTGTGACTGATGGGACACTGTGTGCTCTGCTGTTCTCTTAGGGCTGCAGATCATTACTAGCTACCTGCCTATCACAAAGTCCTTTACCTAACATGAGTTCAGGCCTGCTACTCCTCTCCCAGTTAAGAGTATGACCTTGCTCCTCTATCTACACCCTTAGGGACTAATTACTGCAGTGATACCCAAAGATTATCAGTGCCAGATGTTTAACTTACACTTGTTCATCAGTTCTTGGCCTACTGTTTTCTATTTCCCAATGTAACTGTTGGTTCTCTTTTCTTACCTAGCTCCCTGGATCCCCAGAACCTTCCATGGTGCCTTGGGCATACACTAGGGGGATGAAAAACAACCTGCTGCTTCAACCGACCAACTGGCTAGCAATGGCTTGAGCCTTTCCCTGACAAAGGATTTTTATAGGAAAACTGCGGCACAGGCCTTCCTTACAATATGCACATTGGTAAACTCATGGGCACCGAAAGATAGTTCCAGGAAGGAAAACTTGGCTTCTGACTTTATTACCGACAATACATTGTACAAGTTTTTCTGCATCAAAGTAGTTCATGCTAAAAAGGAGAAGCCGGTTTGTTTGACCCCCCCCCCAGACTTGTAAGAATAATTCACCTAAAAAAGAACCCATTTCTCTAATTTTAAAGAAAATATACTTTTTACACAAGACAACCCAAACTGATGCAAAATATTTATTCCAAGTTAGTTATTTTATGCAGTAGTTTCCCCCTTCAACAGACTTGTGATAACCACATCTTTTAAATCTGTAAATAATGTTATCAAAATAATCTTAATCTTTGAAATCTCACAAAAATTTATATTTTACAATCCACCCTGAATATCAAGGCTGCAAGAATAACACAACATTTCCTATATCCAAATATTTTACAGCTGTACCCAAAAAAGAAAAGAAAAACAAAAACAAAAAAACCACATATGCTTGGTTAAGGGCTAAAGTTACCCGAGCAGCCAAAAATAAAATAAAATATCCAAATTATTAGCATTAATTTAATACAATTATAACTTCAAGAGTCACTTTGTCATTGACAATGATTGCTTGAGCACAGGGGTGAGTGCCCCAAGGGCTGGTAGTAGAAGCTGTTGCAGACAGGGGCGTCATCCCTTGTGCATGAAGTACTGAACAACATAAGAAAAGGAAAAGAATGATTTCTTTTGTATACTCCCTAAACACACAAGCCGAGTTTACTGGGTCAAGTTAAACTGTGAGCATTTATATGCCTACTTCCAGGCATCGTCGTCTGATGTTTCACTGCTACTGGTTTCTGTGTCTGAGTCTTCAAACTCTGCTTTACAAGTGCTTCTCCAAGGGGAGAACAGGCTGGAACAGCGGCTCTGCAAGAAGCCATTCTTTCCAAAGCCGTTTTTTCTCAGCTGTGGTTAGCATGGGAGAGAAAGAAAGAAAAAAAAAAAAACATCACTGATTATACTCGCCCATCGGATGTAGGAAAGGTCAGGCCTCAGTAGGTAGAATGTAGAGGAGAGGGGCCTTCTAAGAGACCTTTTTAAAAAATTGCCAGAGGGCACTCTATGCTTCTGAGGGAGAGACAGAGAGACACACAGAGACAGACAGAACCCAACAATGGGATGTGAGGCCTTTCTCCATTTCTTCTGTAGTGATTTTGGGCATGCACACACATAATGGGATTTCTGTGGCTGGCCATGTGGAATCCAGTTCCCTTAATCACTAGGCCATGGGGCTGGCCCTCTAAGAGATCTTACATCTCTCCTAGCAGAGCTTTTCAAACTTCAATGTACAAGTGAACCATCCAAAAAAATTTTTTTGCCAGAGGGCACATGTATCACAGAGAGCATGTAGTGTGCTACCAGGGCCAGGATTTATACACAGTAGGCCAGGCGGGCTTCATCTCCTCTCTGCACAGGGATTAACTGCTGCATTACGGGCTGCCCCTAAACATCATTCCCCTATTTCTAGGGAGTTCTGAGTGGCAGTGTCTTAGGTCAGCCTGAACTGTGTCCTTTTATAGGATTTATCCACTGTAATTTTTGCTTTAAATATATGCCACCAGAATGTAGTAAAGCTCATCAAGGTTTGTAGAAGCACCATCTGTCTGGTTCAGTGCTGTAAACCTTAGGACCTGACAGTTTTATTCAGAAAAGGAATCCAAGCAATTTTGGAATAAATTCATATAGGTCTCTGGCTTCTTAGCTCTGGCTACAGCACCAAAAGGAAACAGGACTGGAAGCAGAAGAGGGTGAGCCAGCTTTCTGAACCTACAGCTCATACTGTAACTCTGGAACACTGCCCAGTGGATCTGATAAGGGATTAGAGCTGTAAGGACAAATGAACAGACTTTCTAGAATCTGCTAATTCTACCACTGGAGAGCTCCACTGTCTCGGCAGAGTTAGATGCCTCACTACAATCTTTTATGGTAATTCAACTTACTTCTTTTATTTTTAAGTTTTTCTCTCACAATAAACTGGGACTCCCTAAGGGCAACGACTGCCTGACTTCTTTCTCTCCTAAATTACTGATTCACCTTTAGGAGAGGTTTATGACATACCTGCTCTGTCTTCATGTGGAACTCCTTGAGCTCATCCTCTGTGAGGGGAAGGCAATTCTCATCATTTTCAGGATACTCCTGCCATCCCATTGCTTTCAACAATCTGGTGGAGACAAGAGGATAGGAAAAGAAACCGACACCATTAAGCCTAAGCAGGTAGCCCACCACTTTCTAAAGAAAACTTTCCTGCCCGGGGACATTCAGTGTTAGAAAAGGAACTCTGTTGTTTTCTTCTCCCCAGGGGGACAAGCTTTAATTATGGCTACTTACGCGCTTCTAATGAAATAGTTGAGACAGTAAGAGCTATAGAAGAAACAGTAGGAGCAGAAATCATGGCAACATAAAGAGCCAGGCTAGGTGGGCTATCTCATAGCCCAAAACAGAAGAAATCTCACTTTTGCTCCTTGTCAGCACATTAGCATATTTCCCCATGTACCTAAGTTCTTCTTTAATTTTGTAGCATTGTGGACTCGCTCATATCTGGTTGACCCTCAGGTTCCTCTGAACAGCAGCCGTCTGCTAAGTAGGTACTACCACACCTGGCAGGCCCCACCTGCCATCCAGCTGTATGCCGTGTATTAAAGGTCCACATTTAAACAACAGACCTCCATGCATGGGCATCTAGTACCTTCCAAGGCCCCTTAAAGAGGTCTTATGGGGAACCAGCGGTTAGCGTAATGGCTGTCGCTGGATTCCCATGTAGTTGACTGTGGTTTGCGTCCCAGACCCGGTGGCTTAGAACTCACGCCAGGCGCGTGTGCGTGCGTGCCCAAGATCCCGGGAGGAGAATGGAGAAGGGATTGCGGTGTGACCATCCCCCCTGGGGGGTGATTTCTTGCTTTCTGTCTCTATGTCTCTCTCTGTCTGTCTGGTGAGCACACGCACCCTATAGCGAATACCTCTCTCTCAAAAAAAAAATAAATAAAAAAAGAAGAAGAAAAAGAAAAAGAGAGGTCTTATGGTAAATGCTCATTGTGCCAAGATCAAGGGGGCCTACACAACAGTCCAAGAAAAAAGGTTCCCTTGTCTTCTACTCCCTGACTATAGCCATAAACTGAATATGAAATTAATAGACATGAAAAGCTTGGGAAAGAGACTGTGAAAAAGCTGGTCATCTCTGAGAGATGTCCAGTGTACAACAGCCCAACCTGGGGCATACCACAAATATCAATTTATGGTGCTTGTGGAAACTGTCATCTGTAGGATCAAGGTCCTAAAGGCAACACATGGCGTGCCCTGGGAGCTCACTCACTCACTCACCTGTGCTCTGCTTCTAGAGAGTGTGAGAGGACCTCCCCTTCTTCCACTACAGGGAGAGCAAGACCATTCTGATGACAGCTTTCCTCCCCATTTTCCTTTGGTTTAGGTGTGCTGTTGTCCTCCAACTGTGATAAGGAACAGGAAGGACATGCTTGGTTTATAATCCTTTGTGGCAAGATATGCACCATACATAGTCAAGGAGCCAGAACTCTGGAAAATGCTTTCCAGAAGACAGCCTCAGGCAATAGGTCTTCCCCACTTAAAAATGAGGATCTGCAACATCAGCAAATTGATTCTAAAGCTTATATGCTGAGGCAAAAGATGGAGTCTAGCCAACACAATACTGAAGAACAAACTTTAAAGACTGGTATCATCTGACACGAAGACTTACTAGGAAAGCCAGAGTAATTAAGACAGTGTGGTACTGACAGAAAATACAGCGCTAGCAGGTGGCATGGTAGTTAAGAAGCTGGATCTCACATGGCCAACTATGCAATTCGAGTCTTGGACCTGTCGGCTTGAAAAATCAAGCAAAATACATGTATATGTATGTCTAAAACCCAGAGAGAAGAATGGAAGAGGGGACAGTGACATGGCCCCCCTCCCTAGGGGGTGCTTTCTCACTTTCCCTCTTCTCTCCAGTAGGCATATGTGCCCTCTAGCAAAAATTGAAAAGAAAAAAAGAGGAATAGACAAACAGATTAATGCAACAAAACAGAGCCCAGAAATACACTTATATAGTCAACTGATCTCCAACAAAGGAACAAAGGTAATACAATGAAAGAAAAATAAATCCAGTCTTCAAATACAATGGTCATAAAAATATATCTAGTCTTGAAAACAAATGTGCTGGGACAACTAGATACTCACATGTGAAAGGAAGGAAGGAAAAAGAGACAGACAGACACAGGTCCTATGCCCTTTACAAAAAATCAAAGTGGGAGGGACCAGCAGTTAGTGTAATGGCTATGTCACTGGACTCCCAAGTAGTTGACTGTGGTTTGAGTCCCAGACTTGGTGGCTTAACCTCATGCTGGACACGTGTGCATGCATGCCAGGATCTCGAGAGGAGAATGGAGGAGAAGGGACTGTGGTGTGGCCATCCCCCCTGGGGGGTGATTTCTCACTTTCTGTCTCTTTCTGGCGAGCACACGTGCCCTATAGGGAAAAAAAACTCTAAAAAAGAATCATAGTGGGTCACAGACCTAAATGTATTAATAAAATGCAAGACATAAATGTCATGCTCCTAAAAATAAATGAGAAAACACAAGATAGCCTTGTGCATGGCAATGACTTTTTAGATTCAACATCAAAGCCCAATTCACACAATATATAACTGATTAACTAGACTTCACCAAAAATAAAAGTTTCTGCTCTGGGGCTAGCAATTGGCGTAATGGCTATGTCACCGGACTCCCATATATGGTCAACTGCCGTTCAAGTTACAGACTCAGTGGCTTGAATTCACGCCGGGAGCATGTACGTGTGTGCCCAAGATCCCGAGAGGAGAATAGAAGAGAAGGGGTTGCGACTTGGCCATCCCCGTGGGGAGTGATTTCTCATTTTCTATCTCTGTCTTTACGGCGAGCACATGCGCCCTATAGCAAACCCCCCACCCCGCCAAAGAAAAGGAAAAAAAATTTCTGCTCTATAAAAGACATTATCAAGAGAATTTTAAAAACTACAGACTGGGAGAGAACATTTGCTAAAGACATTTGATAAAGGACTACTCTCTACAAAGAGTTCTTAAAACTCAACAGTAAGAGGAGCCAGCAGGTGGTGTGGTGCTTAAAGGTGCCTGACTCCCACATTACCAACTAGGTTTGAGTCCTGGACCTGATGGCTTCCTGTCTCACTTTCTCTCTCTGGTCAAATTAGAAAACAATAATAATAAATAAAGTTAAAATAATTTTTTTTTTTTTTTTGGGGGGGGGGCGCAGGGGGGGGGGTTTTGGTATAGGGCACGTGCACTTGCCAGACAGACAGAGAGACAGAAAGCAAGAAATCACCCCTCAGGGGGATGTCCACGCGGCAATCCCTTCTTCTCCATTCTCCTTTCGGGATCTTGTGCACGCAAGCACATACACTAGGTCTAAATTTTAAGCCACCAGGTCCGGGACGTGAACCGTGGTCAACTACGTGGGAGTCCAGCGACATAGTCATTACGCTAACTGCTGGTCCCAAGTTAAAATAATTCTTTAAAAAAAAAAATGAAGTGGTGGGAAGATCTGAACAAACACACCACCAAAGAAGATACAGAAGACAATACATGTATGAAAGGATGCTCCATGTGATCAAGAAAATACAATTAAAATAACAACAAAATACCACCAGAAACCAATTACTAATACAATGGTCCAATCCCACATAGTGATAATGTGAAATATTGGTAAGGATGTGGAACAGAAACTCTCACTCACTGGTGGTGGAGCTGCGAAATGGTATAGTCACTTTCAAAGACTGGTAGTTCTCTACAAAACTAAACATACTCTTATCATACAACCCAGCAATCACACTTAGTATTTACCAAAACAAACTGAAAACTTACGTCCATACAAAAACCTGCACGTTGATGTTTATGGCTGCTTTAAAAGTAATTGCTAAAATATGAAAGATATCAAGATACCCTTCAGTAGGTGAAAGGTCATAAAAATAAATCCTAACTTGAAATCTCTGAACAAAGGATTAAATTAACTTTACCCCAGGATTTAGAAGGCTGTTACTCATACAGACAAGAGTTCGGCACATTTTAAAATCTTGTCACATCCTTCTCTCCCATAAGAAAGCACATATATAACAACGGAAAAGACCTCTGCTGCCCCTGAGAAACCCTAGGCTCTTACATCCTCCATCTTTTCACAGTCTCTGTTCTCTGAGAAGTCTCCATTCCGGTCATCCTTCAGAGTCTTCAGGAACTCGCTCTTCCTGTCGGTGGTTCTGCGGGTCAACTTGGTCAGACGAGAGGAGCTGATCTCAATTGGAGGAGTGGTGCTGGAGGGACTCTGGGCAAATACCACAAATAGGTTGCTCCTGACAGCAAAGAGCAAGAACTGGGTTCTCTGGGTTACTCCTACATGGTACTGATTTCCAGAATCTGGTAGTCTGTTTAACAATTCTTTTACCAAAAGTAAGTAATGCTTTTATTTAAATAGACTTCAGTTTTACAGGGTTTCTATAGTTATGACAGCCTTTGCTCTCTCTACAGTGACCAGCAAAATGCCAGCCTAATACAGGTAGACCTTAGTCTACCACAGGGCAGTTACCCCACCGTCCCTGCCTACTTTTGGATAGTCAAGGGAAACATCAGTGAAGAAATGACTCTCAGTTAAGCATGGCTACACAAGAAATGGCATTACAGCTATGCACATGCATGTCACACTGCATATTAGTACATAAGCAAATGGGAAATGGCAACTTAAGAAAAGGCTGCCCTACTTAATCCTCACTCACCTCTTTGGGAGAACTTAGAACTGTGCCACCAGCCAGTACCACTGATTTGGTAACAGAGATTGGACTGGTAAAAGCAGACTCCCGGCTAGCAGAAAGGGATGCTGATTTGTGTTCCATTCTGTTAGATTTCCATGCATTGGGCTACACAGGAAGAAAAAACACATAAATCAGAATAAGCACACACGGAGAAGCTCATCTCGAAAAACCGTAAAGCAAGGAGTGAAATGTTATGTGGGAACTTAAGTGCCTACAGCTTACCCGTCTCAACATGTTTAGGACGTAAGCAACCTCGTTCTGAGTTTAGGTACTTGACGACAAAGGCACTGATTTGTGTATTATTTTTCAAAAAAAAAAAAAAAAAAAAAAAAGAGCCAGGAAGGTGCTGGGGTGGTCAAAGTTCAACAGTTTTCTTTATTATGCTATTTCTCAAAGCATGTAATTGTATATATGAATTTGAGAGGCCAATATTACAGCATTTTCCAACTTACCTGACCCCAAAGTATTTTTATAGTGTTTACTAATATCTGATATAACCCTGACATTCCACAAAATACATTAGAGAAATACTGTTTGCTAGGAACTTCGATAGCAAGCCAGAGTGCCACTGTAAATGCTGGACAATCCTGGTTTAGTCCAGAGTCCTTTCTTTTTGCTCAGCCTTGTGGGGCCTGGGTTCAGACTGGCTCAGATTTATGTCAGTCTGGCCATAGTCCAAACTAAAGAGCAACAGAGTGCAGATCAAACACCCACTTTTTTCTAAGTCAACTGCACTCTCTGGGAAGACAAAGGAAGATGAGGCAGGTTAGTGGAGTGGGGCTGAAGCCAAGGAAATACTGCTTTTCCAGATTGAAACAATTACAACCAAGAGCCCACCAGGATAAAGGAAGAATATGAGTGAAAAGAATTCCTTTCTTGGGTGCTTTTTCAGTTGAGGGGCATTCAGGAGGACACAACAGCTTTAGGAAGGAAATTAATTTTACAGAGCATCTATCATGTACTAGGTGCTTGCCATAACATTGTATTTAATTCTTAAAACAGATAAAAATTATGATGCTAACTTTCCATAGTGAATGACAATGAAAAGGAAAAAGTTGTCCATTTGTTCAAAGTTACACAGCTGGTAAATGAATACGTAATTGCTCTAGGGCATATGCTTTGCCAGAGACAAAGAGAAGAAAAGTGAGAAAGCACTCCCCCCAAGGAGGCAGTCACACCAGTCCCTTTTCCACCCTTCTCTCAGGATTTCAGGCACGCATGCACACATGCCCAGTGTTTTTCTGGCTGCGGGGTCCAGGACTCAGCTGCAGTCGGTCAACCATACGGGAGGAGTCACCAACCTCCATGCTACCAGCTGGCCCTGATACTTTTTAAAACTATCTCAAATGTCTCCGAAACAACAGGTAAGCAAGCAAGAGAGATAATGACCCAACTCTAAAAAGAATGAAGATTATTTGGGCACACACTGCACGTTGTGATTTAGGCCACTACGTCTGGGACTCAAACTGTGGTCAGTCATACGGGTGTCCAGCACCATAACCACTATGCCACCTGCTGGCCTCAATTTATTATTTTTAAAAATGCCACAGGGTGCCTACAAGACAGAAAAAGAAAGCACCCCCAGTGGGGCATGGTCACACCACAATCTCCTCTTCTCCATGTCTCTCACCAGGATGTTTGGGCACATGCACGGATGCTCCCCGTGTATTTTTCAATCTGCTGGGGCTGAGATTCCAACTGTGGTTGGCCAGGTGAGATCAGCTCCCGCCCCACAGCACTGTGCTGTGGACCTGGTTCCTCACTTAATTTTCAGTAACTTAAATTCTATAGTTTGGCTGCCCCCCTGGAGAAAATCATATCCTACATCCCTTTACATTAGAATATTATATAGGTAAAAGTTCACTACAGTGGGGGAGCCTGGCAAGTGGTGTGGTGGTTGAAATGCTGGACTCCCACATGGCTGATTGCAGTTTGAGTCCTGGGACCTAGTGGCCTAAAAATCACAGCAGATAAATAGATTTAAAAAAATAAAATCCACTTAAGTAAACTGTATATCAACCAAAGTCTTTTCAAAAGACTCTCCTTTCCTCTGAACTTCAAAGAACCACCTATTCATTTCACTTCAAATGATCTTACCTTTTCCCAAAGGACTGAGAAGTGTGATCAATCACTGGACCCAAACTTTGCCCTATCTCTTCCTTTGCACCTCAAGTTCAAAGGAGCTTCCTCTTTGCTTTCTACCATATTACATCTATTCATTCTCCTTGTGAATTATTATCAATTATTTCACCTTGCATCTCATTCTCTCTAAAGAATTATTCTATTTTATCTATAGACATCCTAAGCCACTTTATAGCAGCTAGGAGGGAAAAGTCAGGTAGATAAATACCACCATCCCTTTAAAGCCAAGCTTTCCTGAGTCTGTATCAGTTATCTTTTTTTCTTTTTTTTAATGATCAGTTATTTAATTAGGTTCTTGGCAAAAAAATCTAGAACACCAATTTGTGAAGAAAAAATCCTTTTGTAAGTGCAAACACGGATCGCAGGTAGCCCTGGAGCTGAGGAACAGCTTTGATTTTTGGTAAAATTTGCGAGTCCACAGCTTTCTGATCAATCTTGCGCTGCTCTGAAATCTCGTATCTCTCCTTCTCTGTGTCGAAGATCTCACCTTTCTGGTGTCTGGGCTTCTGCAGTTTCTTTTTCTTGCAGTAAACGTCGGTAAGGTGCTTTGGGATTTTTACTTTGGTAGTATCAATTTTCGTGGAGGTGGCAATGACAAATTTCTGGTGTGTTCTATGCAGTAGAACTCGATTGGGGACCAGCGGTCCAGTTACAAGCAGCAAGCCGCTGCTCAGCTGCTTCAGGAAAACCACTCTCTTGCCTCTGTGGCGTCCAGTGAGGATGATCAGATGGTCCCAGGAGTGATGCTAGCTCGCAGCTTTCTCACATGCTGACTGAAGGGATTTTTGCTATGGCTCAACAGCTTTCGAGGCACATCTTCAGTAGGATAATACCTAGGCATTTTGTGCAGTTTAACCACCTGGGTACCACCATTCTTGTCTCCACCAACCGGTTTTGTGACAGTCACAAGAACCTTCTCTTTCTATTTCTTTTCGATCCTGGATTTAGTGGCCGAGTATTTCCTCTTGTACATGGCCCTCCTGGAATCCATGGCAGACCAGGAGTATCTACCAATGCCCCGGACTAGGACGGGGTTTCGGCTGCAATGGGGCTTCCCCTTCTTGGGCTTTTTAGCTTTGGGGTCACCCTTTTTAACCTTGCCACTGGCATCAGCCTTCTTGGCTTCAGGCTTCTTCTCCTTAGTATCCTGCTTTGCAGCTTTATCGCCTGCCATCGTGTATAGTGGGAAAGAGCTGTATCAGTTATCTTTCACTTCCTCCTTACTGGGGTCCTTGCAATAGGCACCTCTATCCCCATTTAGTAAAACACCTCTTACAAAAACAACCAAAAACTTCGTCTTAGTATTATATTCCAAGGCAAGCTAAAAATCTGTCTTTGGGGAATGAGATATTCCTCATTACCAGTCTTTTCTGAACTGTTCCCTTTCCTCTTGATTCCCTGATGTTTCACTGTCTAGTCTTCTCGCATTCTGAATTCCTTTCAGTCTGTTCAATGGACACAGATATTTTACACTGTTCTAGCTTTGGTACTCTTCTTTTTTAAAGAGAGATTTTTGCTATAGGGCATGTGTGCTTGCTCGAGAGACGAACAGAAAGTGAAAAGTCACTCCCCGGGTGGATGGCCACACTGCAATCCCTTCTCCTCCAGTGTCCTTCTGGGATCTTGGACATGCATGCACATTTGTCTGGCATGAGTTTCAAGTTGCAGCATCTGGGACTCAAACGAGGTCGACCATGTGGGACTCCAGCAATGTAACCATTATGCCATCTGCTGGTCCCGCCTTGGCACTCTTCTGCTATTCTCAGGTAAATGTCACTAAGAAAACTATTTTAACTCTTTAATCAGTTTAGGTGTTAAGGTGATCTATGTAACATGTAAAACCATATCTCTACCCTAACCTCTCTCCTGAGCTTCTTCTATAAAAGCCTACATGGAGTCTTACTTCCCTACCGCATCCCAAGTACCAGCCAGATGAAACCACTTGCCTTTACCCAAACTTGGTAGATTCTTCCTCTATTTTGGGGTAACAACAGATCTTCTGTCTGGAATTCTCCCCACCTACTTGCTCTCTAAAAATTCTTACTTTTTATTTAGTTTTGCTACAGGGCATGTGTACTTCCTTAAGAAAAAAAATAAAAAAAGAGAGAGAGAGAGAGACAGACAGACAGACAGAGAGGGAAAGTAAGAAATCACTCCCCCTCCCCCTGAGGGGATGGCCATGCCACAATTCTTTCTCCTGAGATTTTGAGCATGAGCATGTATGCACATACACCCAGCCCAGGACTCAAACTGTGGTTGGCCATGTGGGCTACACCACCTGCTAGCCCTAGGCACTCAGCATGATTTTCACGCTGCTGGGTCTGGGATTCGAAACGTGGTCGAGTTGGCCAAGTGTGATCCAGAAACTTAACTACCATACCACATGCTGGCCCAGGTCAAAAATTTTTATCAGTATTTTTTTCTCAACTTGCCAGCAGCAAATAACTACTGACAAATACTGTTGCTATTTAAAATTTAAGTCACCTAAATTTCTGTGATAGCTTATCATTTTTTCTATGTTTGAACTACAATTGCTCAGTCCTACAATTTTTCAAAAAAATTCATAGAAAAGTGGAATTAAAGGGGCTGGACGGTAGTAGAGCCGTAACAGTACGCTCTGAGGCTGTCACATAGAAGGAAGGTTCTGGGTTCAAATCTGAAGACTGGCCTGAATGTGCCAGGCAGCCACATGCCCATGACCTGAGGCTGGTTGAAGTTTGGGGTGGATCATGGCATCAAGGTCTTTTTGGGGTTGCTGTCTCTTCACTCGCCCACTCATGGGAAAAATGAAAACTTATGAAAAAAGAGAAAAAGAATGAAAAGACAAAATTTAAAAACAAAAACTACTTTTCAACTAAGTGCCAAGTTTAATACACTTTTATAAGCAATGACACCCTAAAGAAGGGAGGGATGCTGGCTCCCTAGCACAGGGGTTAGGTGTTGTAAGACAAAGTGAGATCTCATATGACCAATCAAGGTTCAAGTCTTGGCCCCAGTGGTCTGAAAAATAAGCCAGGTACATGCATACATGCCCAGGATTATGATGAGATGGAGGATTTGAGGAAAAATGATCACAGCATGACTGTTAGGGAGTACGTGCATGCTCTTTTTCTCAGGCTCATGTGCACATATTCTCTGAAAATTTAAAAAATAAATAAATAAATAAATAAAAGGAAAGAAAGAAACTGAGGGTCCTGGGAATTTAGCCATGTCAACATAGTTAAATTTGATATTTGTTCTTGATTCCGTTTCAGCAGAATTCATGCTGCTCTCATAGGGGAACTTTTGGAACTGATGTGCTATCTTTCTTAGCGCCTCCAAGTAGGATCCTGGTTTTTCTCCAAATGACATCTAATGATACTTGTTTCCTAACAATGACTGGATTTTACTCAAGCAGTTATTCTGTTTGGCTAAAAGTTGTGTGCATGCATGCACACACATGTGTAAGACAAGGAGACAGTACTCCCCAATTAGGCCTGGTCATGTCACAATCTTTTATTCCAACTTTGCATCCCATCAGGACCCTGGGCATATGCATGCACAAACCTGGTATTTTTCAAGCTGCCAGGAGTACACTCAATCTGGTCAGCCATGTGGGATCTGGCTTTCTCTGCACAGAGCTTAACCACTGTACAATGAGGCTGGTGCCATTCAAGCAATTATTATCTACTTATTTAAAAGAGCTAAGGGTATAAATTTAAAAGGAATCTGAAACCTGCTTTTAAGATAAGAACCAAGTAAAAAAACACTTAGCTATGATGAAGTGTTGCAGCTACTGTGATGAGATACAGAATTTTATATGATTGTGGAGACATGAGCATTAAATACATCTTTTTTTTTTTTTTTTGGAGAGGTTTTTGCTATAGGGCACGTGCGCTCGCCAGACAGAGACAGAGAGAGAGACAGAAAGCGAGAAATCACCCCCCAGGGGGTAATGGCCATGCCGCAATCCTTTCTCCTCCATTCTCCTCTCGGGATCTTGGGCACGCATGTACACGTGCCGGGTGTGAGTTTAAGCCGCCAGGTCCAGGACTCGAACCACGGTCGACTATGTGGGAGTCTAGCGACATAGCCATTACGCTAACTGCTGGTCCCAAGGATTAAATACATCTTTAAGCTATATGTAATAGAAAGAATATACAGAGGATGGCATGAGCCTAAAGGATAATTTCTTAGGTAAGAGAAAAAGGGGCAATAAGTTGCAAAAGATAGATTAAATTTAGGCTATGAAAATATACATGTCAGTGATAAACAGTTTTGACACTGTATTAGAAGACCAAGAAAGACCCAGCTGCAATGATGTATTGGTGGCTCAACACTATACAATACTGGAAGCCTTATGGAAGATCGGGTTTAGTTCTTGGGTCAACCTATCATCAGGCACATGTGCCCATGATCCTGGATGAGTAGGAATGGCAGAGGGAAGGATCTCAGCTTGAGGACCCTCACACATATGAAAGAAACAAACTTAGTGAAGAAAAAGAGTTAAAAAAAAAAAAAAAAGATCAGGGAATGGCAAAACACGTCTTGAGGGTCAAATCTAGATAGGTGTGTTTTCAGCCGCTTGTGAGCTAATAAATTTATCAACATTTTCAAAAAGGATTATTTTATTTAACTTTATTTATTTGCTTGTAATTTGAAGCGAGAGAGAGAGAGAGAGAGAGAGAGAGAGAGAGAGAGAGAATGAGAAAGCAAGTCACCAGGTCCGGGACTCAAACCATAGCTGGCTTTGTGGGTGTCCAGCGCTCTTAACCACCACACCATCTGCTGGCACCAAGTTTATTAACACTTTTAATGGTTGTTTAAAAAAAATTAAAAAGGGGACCAGCAGATGGCATAATGATTATGTTGCCGGACTCCCCACATAGCTGACCGCAGTTCAAGTCTTGGACCTGGTGACCTAAAACTCATGCCAGGTGTGTGGGCATGTGTGCCCAAAATCCTAAGATGAGACTGGGGGAGAAGGGACTATAGCCTGGCCATCCCCCCTGCAGGGGTTGATTTCTTGCTTTGTGGCTTTCTATCTCTTTGTCTCTGTGGCAGGAGCACATGCCCTATAGCAAAAATCTCTAGAGGAACAAAAAATTAAAAAAGCAATAGGGGCAGTCAGGTGGCAGGGTGGTTTAGGGTGCTGGACTTCCACATGGCTGACTATAGTTTGAGTCCCAAACCTGGCAGCTTGCTTTCTCACTTTCCTTCCTTCTCTCTCTTTCTCTTTCTGTACCTTTCCCCCTCTCTGGTCAAATTAAAATAAATAAATAAATAAAGTTTAAAAATTCTTAAAGAAAATAAAAAGAAGCAATAATGCAGTATGAAACAAAGACATATGTAATCATATAGCCTAAAGTATTTATTGACTTGGCTCATCACAGAAAAAGTTTAATAATCTCTGTAATAATGGTTTGAAGCCATGAATGAATGGTTTGGAGTTAGTGAAGAGACTGAAGAATGTGATATATATGATTATTCTGGCAATTCTGTGCAAGATGAATATAGAAAGAAGAGAAAATAGAAGAGTATGCTATAAGAGTAAGTGTAAGAAGGTCCAAACAAGGACTGCATGGGGCAATGACTGACAGAAACTATGTAACTGCTTGGCTTAGGGGAATGAATGAGGAGGAGGAAAGAAGCTATTAATGTGAATAGCAACAGAAGGAGCAGAGTATGAGTGAAACTAAGGAGCAGGGAAGGCTTACAAAAAATCCAGTTGGCAGCAATCAAGTCTAGAGACAGAGTACAGTATTACAAACACATGACAGGTACAGAATAGCTCATGAGTGATTTAGGTGGAATACATTTTACTAAATTTTCTGATGCCCCCAAACCTCTGCTATGTTTTCATACTGATTCCAAATCATACCTTGGAAGGAGGTGGTGCCGGCTTAGGAACCAGGTTCTTATAGACACTTGGAACCATGGTTGATGCTTTGTTCCCATTTGCGTGGTGAGATCCTGGTGAGGTGAATGCAGCGGAGAAGGCAGCAGCAGGATCCTCTTTGGAAACTTTTTTGATGACTAGCATCTTGGAGGATTGCTTGGCACTAGGTGGGTTTTCTGTGAAATACAAGAATGGAGAAAGAAAAGAATGTCAAATCCATTGTGTAACACAACACACAGTTATACAAAGACCTCACCTTCAACAAAGAGCTGACAGTTGAGGTTAAGAAAAAAATATTTCCTGGTGTGTACTTTACAGACACTTTCAAAATTGAAACTATTCAGAAACTGTAGGAAAAAGGCAGAATATTAAGCACTTGATATTCAATTCATAAATCAGTCAGAAAGGCTGAAGATGTTAGTTGCAGTCAGTCCTTCAGGAGTAACAACACGTATAGTGTAAACAGGCATGGACCAAACAAGAACATATCCAACATAGCAGCTCCTGTCAGCACGAGAATGGAGAGAGACTTCCATGGGATCCTCTGACAAGGCAAACGGAGACAGAGCTACATACTAGTACCAAAGAGGAGGAGAAGGTAACACAACTGCCCTTAATTCTGTAATGCTGGGTCCAAATGCAGTACTTAAATATGCTAACACCTTCCCAAATAGATGCTCAGCTACTGATATATCTATGAAAGGGGACGGGGGAGACCAGGAGAGTCCAATTTGTAAATAGAGTTCCCAATGCCAAATAACAGGTCTGGGTCTGGTATGAAATATACTGACTCATGTGCTAATTTTTATTAGTCTACTCATTCCCAACATATACATTCTAACTGTGTGCACTTATGTTTTTGCCTTGGGCTATATAATAAACATCATTTATAATTACAAAAAATACCTCCCCAATTCCCTCCGCCCCAAAAAACCACCAGTAATTGGTACCTGTTTTAATAAAATTATATATCCACTGGATATAGTATTATATAATCTTAGAAATAATAATTTTGAAGAACATTTAGCAATATGGAGGAATGCTTAAGGCGCATTACTGTGTATACCAACCATATATTTAGGAGACAACCAAAGACATAAAATAAAACTAAGTGTTACAAGTAAAATTTCTGGTTAATTAAAAATTACTCTATTAATTTTACATTATTCTCTCATGACTTAAAATCAGCTTCTACATTCAGGGTTTTCCAAACTCTCAATCGTCTGTATTCTGATCTTACACTGTGACTACAACTAAGTGATATTTTGGGGTCAGAGTAACCTGATATGCTTACAGACACTTAGATTACTGAATAGGTGCCAGTTATTATGAGCACATGGAAGAGATGAAAATTAGAGATAAAGAAACAAACAAAAAAGATCTATTGCTCCTCTCCTTGCTAAGAAAAAAATTTTAAGTGGTGTTATTAAAATGGCAAAATTAACTTACCCCACACTCCAGAAGGGGTCCCAATAGGTCTGCAAGGCTGATTCTGTTTGCCAGCTTCTGGATTCAAAGAAGGCTAGGGAAAAAAGGATATGAATGGGTGATATGAAAAGGTGATCATTTTGGCATTTTTCACAAAGTAGCCATCACCATGGAACCTATCAAATACTTACAATTAGTAGGACATAATAATTTAACACTATTCAGGGGAAAAAAAATGAACAGAAGATGTGGAAATACAAAATCAACACATATGTTAATCTCAGGCTCTCTGAAGTTCCATTTCTTTTGGTTTAAGAGGGAATTTTATTTCTTTTTCCAGATCAACAAGCTAAACATGCACATTCTCTCACATTCCTATAGGATATGTATGGCAGATGAGGCAAAGAAAGCAGAAATGGGGAACCAGCAGTTAGCGTAATGGCTATGTCGCTGGATTCCCACGTAGTCGACCGCGGTTCGTGTCCCGGACCCGGTGGCTTAAAACTCACGCCGGGCGCGTGTGCATGCGTGCCCAAGATCCCGAGAGGAGAATGGAGGAGAAGGGATTGCGGCGTGACCATCCCCCCTGGGGGGTGATTTCTCGCTTTCTGTCTCTATGTCTCTCTCTGTCTGTCTGGCGAGCGCACGCGCCCTACAGTGAAAATCTCTTAAAAAAAAAAAAAAAAAGAAAGCAGAAATGAACAATAACATGGATTATTCTCCTCAGATTTAAGAAGGACAATCTGGTCAGTAAAATGTGTAGTATTCACTGCATCTTTAAGACTGTTTTGGGTCAAAGGCAAACCACATGCCAGAGATTGTGCTAGACATGCAAAGACAATGAAGGGCCCCTGTCCTCCTCATAGGGTCCACAGTCTCACTACAGAGATAAACTTGCAGGTAAGTGCCAGAAAAAGGTTATAAGGATTAAGGTTATAAGGACTATATAAAAATAGGTTATAAAAATGTTATAAGGATTATATAAAAATACATGTTAAAGTAGTAGTACTAGGGAGGAATGTCAATTATACCCAAAAGAGAAAGGCTAAAAGGTTTCATCACAGATGATAATGGTCAACAGTCCTTAAAAATTAACGTTAATGCAGGACCAACAGTTGGTGTAATGGCTATATCGCTGGACTCCCATGTGGTCGACCATGGTTTGAGTCCCAGACCCAGTGGCTTAAACTCACGCCGGGCACATGTGCTGTGTGCCCAAGAGCCCGAGAGAATAATGGAGGGGAAGGGATTGCGGCATGGCCGCACTGGGGGGTGATTTCTCGCTTTCTGTCTCTCTGTCTCTTCCTGGTGAGTGTACACGCCCTAAAGCAAAAACCTCTCAAAAACTAATGTTAATGCTGGAAAAAGAGGTGATTCCAAGAACAAAAAGAATAAAGAGCAATACAGGAAAGCATGAAAAACAAAACAGAAACAGGACTATCCAGAGATCCTCGAATAGTTTAGCATGATTACTGCTAGAGAAGGAGGGAGCCCTTCTGTGGGGCGAGAAGTCTGGCAAAATAGGCAAGAGCCAGATTGTAGAGAATATTTTAGGGAGATTCAATTTTCTCCTGTAGAAAAAGAGGAACCCTCTTTCATGCAGAGAGTTAACATGATCCAATAACCAATTTACAACAGTCACTCTGGTAGCAGCTTGAAGGATGGATTTGAGGGGTTTATATATCAACTGAGAGACCACCAGGAGACACATTCACACAGGTCAGGAGAGTAATGAAGGCACCAGGAGCAAAGGAAGACATGAGGGGAAGGGTGGAGAAGAGTGAGGAACAATAAACTGGACTTTAATAACTTATTTATATAGAAGGTGTGAGGATGGCTGGTATTCAAGCCCAAACTTTACAACCTTGTAATAAGGTAGGAAAATGGCTTTTCTGCACAGCTGCCTGCGGAACATAGAAGATATCTAAATACATCCTACTACAATGCTCCTGAATCAACATCTCTAAGGATGGGTCTCCAATAGGAAAAGGAAGTACAGATTTCCACCCCCTCTAAATGGAGTAGAATGGGTACATGGAGCTCCCGTGGGTAAAAACTGTGTTCTTTTCTTGGTTCTCAAGAGAGTTTGCCCATTTATACAGTATTTTTTCTCTTTTCCCACAGATTTTTATTTAATTGCCAGAGGGCCTATATGACTGCCCTGGGGGGGGATGTATGGTCACGGCACCACTTTTTCTTTTTTAAATCATCTAATGGCCCTTAGCCTACATGTGAACATGTACCTGTTGTGAATCTCCTTATAAATATTCACTACAGAGCAAGTGTGCTTGCTGGAGATAGAGACAGAGACAGAGAGAGAAAGCACCCCTAATGGGGAAGTTACAACACAATTCCTCCTCCTCCATTTCGAGCTTGTACCCACGCCTGGCATGTTTCTTAAGCTGCAGGGTCTGGGACTTGAACTGCAGCATCAGCTTTGTGGGATCCAGTCTTTTAAAAAAGATTAATTAATTATTATTATTTTAAAATATTTATTTAAACCATGGTTGGCCATGTGGGAGTCCACTGTCCCAACCCACATGCCACCTGCTGGCCCTTACTATTTTTTAATTTGCTACAGGGTACATGCGCTTACGAGAGAGAGAGACAGAGACAGAGAAAGAGAGAGAGAAAGCGAAAGCTTCCAGGCTGGGACGTGAACCATGGTAAGCCACGTGGGAGTCCACGTCTTAACTACCATGCAACCGGGTGGCCCCAGGATCCAGTGTTAACCACCATGCCACTGGCTAGCCCACCTGTGTGTCACTCAAGCCACTGGGGCTGGGTTTTGCATCATAGTTGACACATGAAATTTCTTTCTTTCTAAAAGAATTATTTTACCTGTGTGTCACAATTTGACCAGAGAGAGAGAGAGAGAGAGAGGAGAGAGAGAGAGAAAAGGAGGGAGAGAGAGAGAGAGAAAAGGAGGGAGAGAGGGAGGGAGGGAGGGAGAGTACCACCATGCCACCTGCTGGCCCCCAAACCTACCTCCTCTTCCAAAAATAACTGACGTTGATTACATCTTTCCTTTTCTTTTTCTTTTTTTAAATTTATTTATTCATTCGTTTATTTAAATTTGACCAGAGAGACACAGAGAGAGAGAGAAAGGGAAAGTGAGAAAGCAAGCCACCAGATCCAGGACTCAAACCTTGGTCAGCCAAATGAGAGTGCCCAGTACCTTAACCACCACGCCACCTGCTGGTCCCTTTTCTTTTACTACCCAAGTATGTATCTCTCAGCACAGTTTTATTTTGTCTCCACACAATTCTTAATACTTTTAAAGAGTAATCTACAGGTTACCTTTAAAAATCTTACACCTCTAGTTTCCTATACAGTAGGCAGTAGGTCCTAGAAACCCTAGAATTCTTTAATGATACATGTATTATGCATTTGCACTTAAGGTAAATTTATGTGTTTTGTTCTTCTATTAGGAGACACCCAGGAGCATCTGTTCTTTTGGTGATGCCAGCAGACACCAATGCTCACAGCCTAAAACTATTGATACATGAAGCAAGAAAACTGATCATTAAAAAACTTTAACTGACAGAGGACAAACACATTTACCAAATAGAGAGAGAAAGAGAACCTTCCCAATGGGGCATTCATTTTGCAATCCCTTTTCTTCCAGCTCTCCATCCTGCTGTGATCTTCACACACACACGCCCAGTTATGTTTTGCACATCCCTGGGGCTGGGGTTTGAACCATGATAGGTCATGTGGGATGTGGCTTCTTTACTCAGTTGGCTACAGGGCCAATTCCAAAACAATGACCTTCTAATCTTACAATTCCATCTTTACAAACTAGCACTAGGGCTGCTCATTATTATGGGGTTGTTTATTGTTTTTAGATCTTTTCAGTGGACAGAGCATAGGAATACAAACACCAACACACAGATAAAACTCTTCAGATCTTCTGATATTTCAAATTCATTTAAATACCTTGGAAATTTTACTGAGTGTCTACCTTAGATCTGTATTTCCTTTCTTCTACACAGAATCCTGATTCTCAAGGACACAAAAGAACAACCATATTCCATCACTTCACCCTCCCCTACACATGTCTCAGAACAGTGATGTCAGTATTTCACTAATAAAGTCACTCAAATGTTAATTTGTTGATATGCTCTCCCTATTATTAAAAAATAGTTTTGGGGGCCAGCAGGTGGCATGGTGGTTAAGGTGCTGAATTCCCATAGGACTTGACAGCAGTTTGAGTCCTGGGCCAAGTCGGGTGTGTATGTGCATGCTCACACCCAAAATTCCAATAAAAAGAATGAAGGAGGAGGGACTGTCTCGTGGTCATCCCCTCCTGGCGGGGATGATTCTCATTTTCCCTCTCCGTCTCTCAGGCAAGTTCACAAGCCCTGTGGCAAAAATCTAAGAAGTTTTACACTATATCTACGTTAGCGCACGTAGCTATTATAAGATACACTGTCTCTTACCCCTTATTTAATCTTAGTTCTACAATTAATCATGTATTCCATATTTACCATCATTCCTTTTATTGGTATCTTTCTGGTTATTCTGTCTTTGTTCTCTAGTACTTTCCTGAAGAAAAGTCTCTGGAACAATATCCTGAGTTCTTATACAGTTCATCTATTACCTTTATAATTGAGTTAAAGCTTGACAGAGTATACTTAGGCCAGCCCATGGCCTGATGGTTAGGGAAGTTGGATCCCACATGCCTGAATATGCAGTTCAGGTCCTGAACCTAGTGATGTAAAAGCACACCGGGCACATCTGCATGCATGCTCAAAATCCCAAAAGGAGGGAGGAACAGGAAAGAGATTACACATCGTGACCATTCCCCTGAGGCGATTTCTCCTGCTTCCTCTCGTGAACACGTGTGCCCTCTGACAAAACTTGAAAATAAACTCTCTGGCTCATTTTTCCTTCTCTTGAGTACTTTAACTGTTAATTGTATTTACTTATGTCAGAAAGGTTTCCTGTAGAAGTCTGATTTTTCCCTCTTGTAAGTCACTTGATCTATATGTCAAGATGAATAGAGTATTTTCTTTTTTATTCAAGTCTAGTATTTTATAAGACTATGGCTGTTTTGGCTGACCTTTCCACTTGTAGCTTCAATTCTTATTG